ATCAAAGTTATAAGATTAACAAATTGAACATTATTCACAGATCAGCTGAAAGACAAAATCAATAGTCGATAAAGGGATTGCTAATAAGAGCTTAATATTCAGAAAAGGTATTGAATAATGACATTTTTAAATTGCTCTATCACTATGATGGTACATGAGATAAGTGAAGGTTAACAGGGAAACAAAAGGAAACTGAATTTCATGGTTAATGACAGGTTGAATCGATATCAGGGTGATGTGAATGAAGCAAATAAAAACAGTTACACATTTTCATCAGGTAAATCATTTTGATATTTAACAATTTGACCAGCTATTAATGTTATTACATTTGATACTTGAATTATAACAAGTTTATTGATTTTTTTTCAGGGTAAACATTGAAAGTGTTCATCAAATTGTTTAGACTGGCTTGCCATTTGATACTCAACTTTTACCAGTCACATTTGGTAATCTAATTAAATTTGAAAGGGTAAAACAATCAAATGACTGACGCTTGTGTTCAATGAACATTGCAATGTTCATTTTACAAGATTCATTTTGTACTTTTGCCTCACATGAATCTCAAGTTCAACTGAATGGAACCATGAAGCAACTGATTAACTTCTAAACAAATTGAATATTCACTATTAATAAATTAATGGCTTCATAATAGTTGAATGATGTTAATTGTATACCATCAAAAGAAGAGGCTGTAAAGGTCATTTAATGGCTAATGAGTTGCAGGGTAAAAAAGAGTAACCATTATAATGCTAATTGTGATTCCAACATTTTTTGTCCCATTACAATGATAACGAATAAATCTTCATGGGATAATTGGGATTAGAAGGAAAACATTTTTAATGGAGCAAAACAATTGTATAAACATCAACAATACCAAAAAATAAATCAAAATATTAACAAAAATGTCGAATTTATTTGCAATCTATTTTTGGATTGGAAGTTCATGCTTTTTTGTTTGGACTTGCATGTAAGCTGAAGTATTAACTGCCCTCCATTACTTGTCAATGAAAAGCAGAAGTTCCGATAATTTTTCAGATTGGTTGATGTTTGTTACAAGTTGAAATCTCACACCGTTGGAAACAAAAGATTTGTCTTAAAAACAATTGCTTAACTGAACGATATGGAAACACTAATATCTTTGGCCAGCATGAGTAATGAATGTGTCACCAACACTAACTGATCTGGAAAATTTTGCACTCTCAGAAAATGACCATCAAATGTCAGTTAAGGTCGAATAACGAAGTGACCTTGAATGACCTTGAGCGTTCGAACTTGTGGTTCTTCAGTCAGCGGAAGCTCATGGTTCAAATCTGAGGTCTGTAGCGTTAACCGTTCGTGAGTTATGACTGCAAACGCCCGGTATTCTAACTAACGACATTAGGCGAGACGATCGCTCGTCAAAGTCAGTGTTAATGACGAATTGATAGTAATTATCGTAATTACGTTCTTTCGAAAACTCCACCACTGATTTTACTCATATTTTGGGTTTCTCCAGGATACTTTCAATTCATTATTTTTGATCAATCGATATTCTCAAATCAATCTTTTTAACCAAAAAAATATTCATTTTTGTAGATTTAAGTTTCAGCAAAATATTTTGTTTTCATCAAGAGTCGTAAATGTTACTGTAAAAAAATGATTTGATTGTTACCTTTTTGAGAAGTGAGTAAATTTTTGGTTGAAACATTTTAACGCCCAAATTGAAGGTTGAATTGGCATAGTTGGGCTTGACTAGTTGGGAAGTTGAAGATGACGAGGAAGACCAAAATGATGGTGACAATAGTGATGAGGAGGAAGAAGAAGAAGATTTGTCATTGATATAAGCGGTGTTACCATTGGTTAGTGGGTTTAATGATGTTTCACTTGAACCCATTGATGAAGATGAACCAAAACTGAGCCAAGACTCGTGAGTAACATAATGATAACTTGTCCCAAGTGAGTTATCCGTTTGATGATTTAACTCATGATGACCTGAAATGAGGAGAAAAAAAAACAAGGCCAGAAAAGGCTCAATGATGAAAATAGTTTACTTGCAATCAACATTACAATTTAGCCATTTAACACTCACTGCTGATTATCCAGCAATATTAAACTGAACAGCCAAATTGTTCACTGTTTTGTGCTTATTTAACCGTTTTGTGTCTTGATTAGTTTGTGTTTGCTGTCAAGGCTTAAACGTGATTACAACTGTTGATCCATTGTATGGAAATGGAAAAGATGACAATTAAATTAACTGCAAGAAGAAACCATTTCAGGGTGAAAACCCAGGGAAAAGCTAAAGTCTATTGACATGAAATTGTGCCTCAATAACAATAATCATAATTGCAACGATCAGTTTCACTTTATTTGTTTTTTACTTTTCTCTTGATTGTAAACTCTTTTTGATAACATCTCAACCCATAAATGTTATAATAAACAAAAAAATTGTAATGAAATGAGTTTCAAGTCATCATGAAATGATTGGAAATTTGCACGCAAAAAGCCAACATGAAGTTAAATCAAATTCATTGTTTATCTCATTTTATCCCATTTATCGATATTCTGTGTTTCTTTTTCTTTCTGTCTTTTCATGGAAACAAATGTTCATCAGAAAAGGAAGAAGAAGAATCGCATTTTTACCTTTTCATGTTGATAAATCATTTGAATTGTTGATGATGTTTGGTAAAGTTTCAATTTCATTGAAAATGGAAAATTCAATGTTGGTTTTGGGATAAATTTTGTAGTTCTCTGGTTCACTCATGTTGTTCACCTGCTCTTTCATGGGATGAGTAAATACACACTGAGCAACACCCTTGGAATAGTAATTTCAAGACTGTGGTAAAGGAAAAAAGAAAAGACAGAAATTTATCTTTTTGTTTCTCTTCTTCTCTTTATTTTCCTATTCAGGTTCATTTAAGTGACTGGGAGTGAAAATGTTGTCTTTCCATTCGATAATGCTGAATACGTGTTTGAGCATCATCATGTTAAATGAATCACAACTGACTGCATAATCAGACTATCCATCACGTCCCAACTTGGTTCAGTTTAACATTGAATATTGACCTTTCTCATGCTCTTCTCATGAGCTTTCTTTGCGTTTCATTTTACAGTTAAAACCAGAAGTGTTAACAATTGTTGGCCAATTTGGTAATGAAGAGAGTTATTAAAATGAATGAAACATTTTTTTCTTTTCTTCTTTTCTTTTCTCGGTCAACATTTTTTGCCCTCTTCATGATTATCATGAAAAGAATGATGATAGTCATTGTAATGATTATGATCATTATCATGAGGTTCAACTTGGAAGTAATCGTTTTCTGGTTTATGCTTCTGCTACTTTTTATACTCTTGTCTTGGCTTTAAAAGGTAAGGAAACGTTAAATGAGTCAAGTATTAATAGTATTAGATGAAGATGATATTTCTTGTGAGTCAATCAATGAACAAAAACCTCAAAAGGATTGGATTCATGATTGGATTAGCTTGTTAATCAGTGAACATGATCATTACAAGTGACACTTTTGGCCAATTGATCTGAAACACACACACAAAGAACGATTGTAGTCAATGGGCATCTTTAATGATCTCAAAATCATTTCAACTTTTCTACTCGTAACTTGGTTTACCTCATCAACAATGTACAAATTATTACAATCTATTCAGGTCAAAAACAGGTTCATTACAATGAATGTTGATATCTCATGGAAATAACAAGCATTGTTTGATGTTCAAGAAAAGATGTTTTTCATCTTATAAACAGCAACTTACATCAGATTAATCTTGATGATTATTAGCATTCAATTGTCAACTCTAAATACAAACTAAAATCTCAATACAATTGAACTCTCAGCAAATAATGAGAAGGCATTTTAAAAGTTTTCAAAACTGTTGGAAGCTTTGAGAAAAGAGTTTTAGACTCAAAGTTGAAAAGAAAAAAAAATGAAACTCAAATTCATTGATCAAAAGCTTATTAGGAATCACAAATGTTCAGAAAAGTCATTATTTATTGGACTAACAAGTTTATGTTTTTGATTAATTGTGTTCTGCCTTTGAGTTAAGGTAAGACAAGGTTTGTCAAGATTATTTGCTCAACAACACATTACTTATGCAAGTTCAATTACTGTTGCCTCAAATGAATTTGTAGAATCTCAGTGTTCCAGAAATAATCACATTTCAAACTTTCATCAACAGGAAAGTTTAAATTTTGTCCATCATTTTACTAGTTTCACTTGGAACTGCTTTGAAATGCTGAATAAGATGTTGCTTTATCCTAACACTAAATGCTTTGTGATCTTCATTTTAGTTTCGCTTTTTTCGCTATTCTGAGCACATCTCACATTCTAGAGTTTACATCGGAATAAGTTGGTTCGAAGATACTCTGAGTGTACAGTTCTAGTTTCTGACATTCTCATTGGCAGCAAACGAGGATCCAAAATCTGAACATTTCAATTTGAGCCAAAGTTTGAACAATTTTCAACCTTTTCAGTTAAACCTTGAAGTCTTTGATAACCTTAAATCGGTTGTTTAGTTGAACTAATTTTCCCATTTTGTTTGTTCAACCCTGTTTACTGGTGAAAGATGATTTAGTTATTCAATTGTTGCTAACAAATAGATTCTGGTAGATTGCTGATTGAATCACCCTAAGGCATTGATTATCATCATCATGTTTCATTAAGAATTATAAGTTGATCATTTTTTGTTCTTGTTCACATTTTCTCCATTTCTACCTTTTCCATGTTCATCAACATTATCCAATGTAAACATGATCAACAACAACGCCAAAACCTAAGAAGCTAAGAGACTAAAATTGTAAACATTTCTGGACAAAGTTCTTGAAAGTAAAACAAGAATCATTACAATGGATATTATCTGGTTTCAAAACGATGAACATTAGATTAACTTGAATCTTTTCAACTCTTATATTGTAATTTGTCGTAATTTTATTCACTCTAATGTATTATTTTATCATCAATTCAATCTCAATTTTTTTCTCCTTCTCTTCACCTTGTACATTTTTCATCCTTTCCCATCATCCTCTTTTACCTAATCCTCAATGGAAATATAATTAAATTAAATGATCTTCAAAAAAAGGTAATGACCAAAGTGAAGTTGAACATCTTACCAGGCTAAAGGTAATCAGGTTGGAAGCTCGAGTATTTTAGACAAAAAAGTTTTGACTCTAGTCTTACAATCCAATTAACTTTATCCAGTCTTCATCTGGTTTTTAACCCAAAAATGAATTCAACCTTTGACTTTGTACTTTTGACCACAAAAGAGTTGACAAAAGTTGTCTTCAATTGCTAAAGGGTTTCATCGTTAAACTCATCGTTAAAACTCGTCATTAAACCAGTCATTAAAAGTTACCATTAAAAGTCATCAATTCATCACAATCAACCCAATAATACCATTAACTTTAATCTCAATCAAAAATTGAGAGCAAAAAAAGAGGCAAGTTGAAGGTTTTTTTAAACTCATCGACTTATCTCGATATCTTGATAACAACATTATGCTATTAACTTTGACTCAATCTTTAATAATTAACTTGAATATCATCATTAACTACTCATTATATTAATGATATTTTATTGATTTTATTAACTAGAAGAAGGGAAACAAGAAAAGGCCCAACAGAGTACAACAAAATCAAAATACCCAAAAAAAACAAAACAAAACATTAACATTTTATTGATTTGGAAACACTCGATAAGTCTATCCAATGTTAACATTTTCACCACTGATGCCAACTAATCAAGACTAATCATGACCAAATTAGCATCAAATGTTGATCCTGAAATATGATTTGAACAGTTAAAGTCTCTTGTTGCTCTTCAAATTGTTGCAACTTTAATTAGATTCAGTTTACCAGTTTTGCTTGTCATTCCGATATTGTGATCTTTCAATCAATGGCAATACTTTGGAAATGATATCTTAGTATTCAATCGATTTAGTGATTCTTATTGATCCGATTGGTGGATTCATTTGAAAGTTTTACATTTACTTTTGCTTTGACCATCATTTTGGTCAGTTTCAGACAATTGTTGAAAATATCATGGATTTGAAAGATGCCTTCAAGATGAGAAATGATGGAAAAAATTCACTCTTGGAGACTTTTCTTTGTGATTAGCTTTATATCCTTTTGGACTTTAAAGATGATGGGAAAACAAGTCTAAATATTATTGTAAGATGATGAAGGATGAATAAAATGAGGAGGAAAAAAAGGAGAAATGATGTAAAAAATAGCGAAAAAGATATACTTTTTTGTCTCGGTTGAGATTATTGTAAAACATTTTGCGTTTCACTTTGATTATCATGTTTATTAATCATGATTAAAGTTGCTCCTAATCAATCATTGAGGTTACAGGGAAGGAGTGAGTGAACAAAAGCAACTTATTACCAGAATTGCAACTCCAAGGGTTGAACATTGTAACTTTGAATATTTTTTTTGCTTCTTCTACCAGACTTTACTTTGTTGGGAAATATTGAATCACATCTTATAAAGGTTGATTAAATTGATTTGAAGTTGACTGTTGAATGGTTTTTTTGAACAGAATGAAAAACTGAAAGGTTAACAGTTGTTGCTGTCAAATGAAATCAACATTTGGTGTTGACTTGATGCTGTTTGACAACTGTTAATGGAAGTACAAGTTATTCAAGTGAATTTTGACTTTTTTCAATAATCATTTTGATGGCATCCAAATTGAACCTAAATTGAAGTAAAAAAACCCAAAAATTATCAAGTTATCACAATACCGTTTGTCGGGAAAAACTGGTCAACGATGGTAAAACAAATCTTGACAAAGAGTGTTTAAACTTGAAAGCACAAGATCAGACTAATGAACAATTTGGCTTTTCCCTGACAGTCAATTTGACTATCATGTTATTGTGAGTGTTTCAATCTTTACAGATGTTAAGTGTGGACTCGGTGAGTGTTGGCTGTTTTTTGAGTGAAATGTACTTACCTTTTGAGAAGATTAAATGTGAAGATGAATCAAGGATAACTATTGACAATAGAAACATGCATGTCATTAAGAAAAAGCACAACATTAACTCTTTGAAACACCGGAATCGTTTAAGAGTAATATATTGACGGAAAAGCCAGCGTTTAGTCATTATTGTTATTGGGTTTGCTGTCGGTTAGGTTGGTGGTTAAACTTGTCACTTGGTAAACATTACACTTTGGTTTAATTTGATTGTCATTGAAACAAAAGGTAAACTTGTTATTCCATTGTCTGGGAATCAAGGTATTCTGATGGATGAAAAGATTGATAAAAATCTTTGAAACTCCTTTGGAGTCACTCTTATATAACTCAGTCAAACTCCCTTAGTTTTGTATATTTTTATCTTTTTTCTTGTTCCGTTTGTTTGCTGTTACAGTTTGTATTAAAATAACTCATTGATTTTGCTCACTTCTAGAGGCATCTATTGGTTTAAAAGTTAACTGTTTAAGGGTTTTAAATGTTTGGTAACGGTGTTTGTTAATTGAGTTTTATTTATCAAGTGTTTTCGTTAAATAATTGTTTTAATTTGATTAAAGAATTTTATTTGATTTTATTATGTTTCAGTGTTTTGTTTAAAATGGTGATTGCTTGATTGCAGTTTTAAATATTTTGGGTAAGAAGGGTTAACTCTTTTGTTTAACATTAGTCGTACCATTCAGCGGTTACAATGGCACTTATGTAAATAGCTATTGTCATTATGATTACGAATGGTACATAAAATAATATTATATTCCATTTAAACCGATCAATTTTGTCTTTAATATAATCGTAGGTCATTGTATAACGACTTTCTGTTTCCTGTGTTGTCTCTGTTGTTTTGATGGTTTCAACGCCGTTGGTGGTTGGCGTATTAACGTCTTGGACAGCATTTAGTGATTTGATCAACATTTGACTTGACTGGGCTACTATCTGTGTTATGAAGTGGACTATAATGAATATAAAAACCAACCACTGGTAAACAGCGCCTAAACGAAAACTGGGTAACTGGTCAGCAGCTTTGAAGAGAGCAATAAGTGCAGCAATGTAAGCAATGTGTCCTCCAAGAGCATGACCAATGTTGAAAATCTTACGAATTAGAGTTCCATGTGTTCTGGGTCTGGCTAAGCCTGCAACACACTGCATAATCATTAGACCGTTGGCTATTAGGCCAGCTATTATGTGAGCTGACATGCAAGTTCTGAAGCCTCCAACGTGGATCATTATGAATAGTAATCCAAGAAGTGCTGAAGCCAAAGCAATCAGATTCAACAGGCGATGGGTAAATAACCAAACGGATAAATCAAAGAGTTTCACATATTCCCAACTATCACGGTAACCGCGGGCCAAAGTGAGTGAGACACTGATCATAGTTATCCAAGCAAATATCATGAAAAAGGCATGCATTTTGATTAACCAGTTTGCCGGGGAAGGCTTTCCAAGAACCAAACCAGTAGAAAGTAAATCTATCTGATCTGGTGATGAACCACGTTCTTGTCCATGGTATTCCACTAAACCATTCCGAGTTAACCGACCAATTGCAAGTAACAAATGGTATTTTTTATCAGTTAAATCATATGATCTACCTCGGGCTCCACCAACAATACGTTGATCCCAGGAACATGTTAATTTATTATCATTCAATGATAAAGATGGTCCTACACCTGTTGTATTCTCAATAAAGGATCCAGGAGGTACTGGAATAAAACCAGAATGGCCAGTAGTCATTCCTTCACCTATCGAAAGTGTTGAATTTTGGTGGACATTACAGTGCACAACGAAATCCTCGCCCATCCAAGGATCTTCTGATATCGCAAAGCCGTACCATGAGCCATATCTTGTCATATCGCTGCACAATATAACATTCAATGCTTGTGGTGATGAGTTGGTTCGTCTCATTTTTACCATCAATTGGCAATCAACTGAATCATCAGATAAACAAATCGTGGGTAATCCAAAGCATAAGGCGTTAGATTGATCACAACTACACGGTGTTAATGATCCTTGTTGTCCATAAACTAAACCAAAGGCTAAGAAAAAGGGGACAAATGTATACCAGATCGACTTGGGAATAATTTCAGACCTTTGTTTTCTTTCAATCATCAGCATTTTAATAATTTGAATACAAAAAGAAACAAATATAAAACGATAAACTGTGCACGACTACAAGTTGAAAAAATAGGAGTCCAATTAATCGAGTTGTTTCCAAACTTGTGATTAGATTCTCACAATTGTGACTTACTGTCACAGACTAGCAGTTACTACAATCACAATAGAAACATTTTTGCGTTAATGTGGAAACAATCTGAAAGTTATTGTGATTTATTTCAATTTTGATGGTTCAACTTATCACTAAACTAATTAAAATGTCTTTCAACAGAAAATTATTGACTGATTTACTTTCTTCTCATGATATGTGAAAGAAAAGTTTAACCTGACGTCAAATTTCATTATGTTATATAAATCGATTCGAAAAATCTAGTTTATCATATATTTTCTTTCTTTTCTCTCATTTCAATCTTCCCTCGTCTTCATCGGTTTTTTTGTCATCTCTTCAGGTGAACTTCATTCAATAAGCTCATTTTAAATGATGACTCTTATTTGCAAGTGAAAGAGTCACAAACTGTAATGAACTAGATTTGCTACCAATCGATTCCGTTGATTGTTAATATTTTATTGGGTTAATAATGGCGCAAAGCTGAAATGTAGGAGCAACAGTTGACTAAAATCCCAATAAACATTAATAAATGGTGATATTTTTCCACCTTAATCATGTTAGATTTCAAATTATATTATAACTAACAAGTTACCGTGTAATTTAAATTTCTACCTTTGATTAATGGTCACGAATATTTTCAATTAAAATGCAAGATTGTTGATCGCTGGAATAATTGTAAAGATGAGATTGTTTAAATGATTAACCTTTCATTTTTACCTTTCAACATTTCGCCCTTTTTCCCTTAATTATTTATGCTCTCCTTGCTTCATATTATTTCACAATTAACACAATTAATTAAAGATTGAAATAAAAGAGGAAAACCTTTGACAATTAATCAATGAGTCGACGAAAAGATGATGGAGTTTATTTAGCTATTGAATGATAACATTACAGTTTTTTAGGATAATGATTTTTTTACCTTCCTAATGATTGATTGGTGAAATATCAATTCTTAATATATTTTGATTTTTGTTGTTACCCTTAACAATTGAATGTTACCTTGAAATAGGAACAAAATGATGTTGATTCCATGGTTTAATAAGCTCACAATCTAGGATTAAAACTAGAACTTTCGGAGGACAACAATAATGTTAATAATGGATATGCATAATAAAGACATAAAAATACATTTAATGCTCTGTTTCATGGTTTTAAGCTGAAAATAATTTAAACTGATCTACTTTTTGACTTGCTTTGGGATCATTAAAATGTAGAAAAGCAAATCAACAAAAGTCGTCTTTTCTTAATGATATTATCTCTTGTTTCTGAAATTAGAATGAAAAAAATATAAATATTGATGTAATCCATTTTAATGAATGTAGATATCAAGGGAGGCTGATATTGATAAATATTTAAAAGCAATAATTTATATAATATAATATGATATAATAATAATAATCAACGATGTTTATGCTTCCAAAGGAAAGCAACTAAAAAATATGTAACATGATTAGAGTAAAAAAAAGAGTTGAAGAAAAAAAGCGAAAATGGATAGCTTCAATTCAATACTGAGTTTATCTGCTTTTGTTTCTTTTGATGATTCCGGACAGCATTTAGAGATTTCTTTGCTGAAAAAGATTCAAATTTTGGTTGGTGGCTTGCTTGGTTTAGTGATGCTTGCTATTCAACTGTTGGTTTGATTGATTTTATGGTAAAATCACAATCATATGAATGGTAAGCCAATGGGTTTGTAGAAAATTGTTCATTGATTGTATTGTACTTTAAGGAGAATAATAATTTAGATAATGTATTTGATTCCTTAGAAAATATTTCCCATAAATAGTGAACAGTTTGATCTTTGTATAAAATCATTCGCCTGGGCGAATTGAATGATTTAAAGAGGAATTCATCGTTTCTCTCTTTCTCAATTTCATTGGCAACTAGGTTGGCATCAAAAAGTTCAAAACGCTGCTTGGAAACAGCTCGGATATTAATTTCAAGGAATTTACGTTCAACCAGAATATGTAATTTAGCAGTTGACATAAATGGCGGAGTTAGATGTAAGATTCTACTAATTGATTTAATAGCCTCCGTTTTATTATCAGGATATGAAAGTGTAATATTATGCTCTGTACCACTGGGCCCTCGTTGATGAGCAAATTTACTGACTATTATCAGGGGAATATCATGGTTTTGAAATGGATCAAGTGAGGATTTAAAGTTGATGTCGATTGAGTTAGAAAAGTTGGCTAAATTATTTGTATCATTGTTATCCATTACTTCGAGTGGCGAGTAGTTTGTATGTTTGGCTGATTCTTCTTCTTGTTTACTTTCATCTTGGATTAGCCTCATGAACAGGTCAGTGGATGATTTCAACGTAATTGTTGCCCCTGGTTGAAATGAGTAGCTTCCACTATTAAGTCGCAGAGTAATGTGTTGAGGTGGACCAGAAATTATCTCTAAATTGCTAACATTATCATTTCCATCTTTATCAATTAATTTAAGACTAGGTTCTTCAGATATCACAGTGAAGCATAGGTGAGCAGTTAAAGGTTGATGAGTGAATGATATTAATTCGTCTTTCCATGTTAACTTGATTCCTTCAACTGAGTAACAACCTGAGTCAATTGGCTCAAATGTTAATATTAATTCATTTGAGCCTGGAGCAATGTCAATGTTCGAGGAGACAAAAGAGTGATTCATTGTTGATTTACAGGGTTCCATGGTTGAAGGTCCGTTAGATGGTTCAACTGAACGTTTGAAAATTTGATTCAAATTACAACATCGAATACCAATCTCAATTTCTGAATTAAAAGTATTATGATAAGTTTCAAATTTAGGTCGAACTCGAAAATTCTTCCTATTTATAGTTGAAAATGGATGTGGACAGAGGAGTGAATTTTTGGCAGCAACTTGTTTATCCTGTGAACGGGCACGGGCTTGAGGTGAGAAGGGTTCGTATGAAAGGTAGACACAAATAGAAGCGAAACTAATTTTTTCCATTAAATTACTTTCCAAGTTGAGAATTAATTCGAGCTTTGCATTGGTCACAAAAACACCTTGACTTTTCATTGTAATTGAACCAATAGGGAACATTTCTTCCATTGAAATAATTAAAGGATCATCTTTAGTTAAAGATGGGATATTATCTTTGGCTATGATTAAATATTTTGAGCGTTCAGACATTTCCAAGTTTTGACTCGATGCTAGAAGTAGAGCATATTGTACAACTTTTTTACAATCATTTAAAACAATAAAACAATCAAGAATGTTTTTCCTTGTATCAGCAAGTAATACTGTCCAACGATCTTCGGCAAAAACTTTCTCCAAATCGAGTAAAAACGGAATTGATTGCTGATGCTTATTCATTTTCCTAGCAAAAAGAAAAGGAAACAAAATTAAATGATGATCAATCAATGACTTCAATGTAAATTAAGATTTCAATTGGACATTTGAAAATTGAAACAATTGGCATAATTGCACAAAATTGGATTAAAATTAACTTGTTGGGTTTTCTGTGTGATTTATACAAGTACATGCACAATTCAAACAAAATATACTGTTAAGGAGATCATTTAATTAAAATCCCTTGAATAATACATTGATAGAATTAAATGATTACTTTGAAAATGAGAAGCTTGCTTGTAATTGCTTTATAAAACAAATTTTTAACTTACATGTAAAAAAAGGCTAATTCACGCCCGACTAAGCGACCAGATCTAAATCTCCCGATATGTTTGTAAGTACTGATGGTTAACTCTGATACTTCGAGGTAAGCTTTTGAAAAGGCCTCAGGTTTTGATAAGGCTTCTTTCAAAGTAGTTTGTGGACTTGGACTTGTAAGCTTTTCATCTTGAAATTGGATCAGAGAAAAAATTGGTTAGATAAATCGATTCATAAGAGTAAAAAATTTAAAGCTCAACCATACCTGCATAAGGATCATTGCCCATTCCAGCGATTAAGCCAACGACTTTATGTATACATTCGGAATCATGATTCATACCTGGCATTAAACCACAAAGAGTTCCCAACTCTTCGAGCTGTGAAAAAATTGACCAAAACCGTTAATAACTGTCAACTATTCAATTTTATACATTTATACCTTTCGACGTGCGTAAGCCCATAAACCGATTGTATAACGAGAATATATTTGCATTTGCGATGAATCATTATATCTTTCGCATTTTTGTAAGATTTCTAACGCACTCAGAAATACCCAACAGGCGACAGCTCCGCAAGGTAAATTTATCTGTAAAGGTAAGATTGAAAATAAACAATTGAAATGGTATCATGAAATGTTGATTAGATGATAATAATAATATTTATAAGCTTTATTGTTCTGGAGAGAGATAGATACTCTAAAATGAAGTCACAGAACAATGCGGTTAGGGATAAATGGTTAATCATTTGATTTCACGGTTAATTATGAATATAAAATGCAATGAACAGAAGTAAACTCACCTCTAAAATGTTTAATTCGTTGACACAATTATGAAGAAATGGTAAAGCTCTAGTTGATAATTCCCATGGTTTATGTTGCATAAGGAGAAGCTCACATTGACGGGAAAATAAGTAATTCCTAAGTTCGAGAAGACTTGCAGTAGAATCACGTATTTTCTCTCTTAATTGGGTTGATATACTTTTGGATAAAGTTAATCCTCCCCAAGAATGGCATCTTTCAATTAGTACTTTCAACCAATCGGGTGGTTGAATGACATGACTATTAATCACAAATTGACTAAAAAGAGCATCCAGTTCATCATATTGAACTAATGCATCTTCATAAAGGCTAAGCATTTCAAATGCAAAAGCCATCTCTTCTTGTAGAATGAAAAAAGTGAAAAAATCCCATGATTTAGAGTTACGTCGTTCTCTCTGAGCACGAACAAAATCTTCATATCGAGTCAAATGCTTTGAGTATGATTTCAGTAAAACCAGACGTAAACGGTCCAAGAAAAACTCATAACTATCACCAGCCGATGTTTCATTCTTTACCGGATTAACAAGAGAAACACAACGATCGGCAGCATCTTTAACTGATGAAGGAAAATCACTACGAACTTTGTCGGCAACAGTACTACGAGGAAGTAACTTAGTTTTATTGCTCTTCTTTTTCTCACTTGAATCAACAACTACGATTAACCAGTCCCAGATGTCGAATTCACGAAGCCGATTCATCCAAGAGATTACATCCTCACGAATCTGAGTTTTGTACACATCAACATCGGAACATTCAAACCAATAGGTATGGAGTAGACATCGCCCCAGAAGACTTTGCTTTCCTTCTGAAGAACTGTTTTCCTTGAGAAAAGTGTCTTGGAATGGCACAAAATTCACTTCCAAATAAACCTTTTTTGTAGACCGCCCATACGACCTGTTGTTTGGTGTAGATTATTTCCATTAACCAACCATTTACCAATGTCAATTCAGAAACCAGGGGGAAAAGCGATGAAATTAAAATATTAAAAGAGTTAGTATTAGTAACATCTTCTTTCTAAATGAAAACAACAAAAACCAACCTTTGCCATTCAATGCATTCTTCTGGCAAATTAGTGACAATTTTATCCCTCAATTTTTCTGGCACATTTGTATTGTTTGCATAATCTAAAGATAAAAAAAGAAACGAATGAAAATTATTATTCATTAACAAAGATATTTTTGGTGAATAATTAGAAATTGGATTGATTAATTACATGTTACAACTGGTTTAATGTCCATTTGTTTGTGTCAACCGACCGCTATGGTTGATAGTAGCAAAATAAATAAACACGAGATCAACACTCTTCGCCAAGCGATAAATACGGTGAAAGGGATAAAGATGATGGTGGGGGAAATAATGACACAATTATGATGTTAATTAAGCAATCCATTAATCTAAAAAAGAAAATGATCAAAAAGATGAAAAAAAGACATGAAAACAATACAGTGTGTATTGCAGTGAATAGATTCAAAAGTGAAAACGAGTTGGTAATGCAACTCACAGTTGTTTGAGAGACAAATTCAGGGGATGTTCCATAATTTCTAAACAAAAGGTAAAATCTAAGTCTTAATTACTTTAGAAGGTGAAATGAAGACAATTCATTAAGCTGAATTTAAAAATGAACACTGGCCAAGAAAACACATAAAAACCATAATAGACACTTAATTTACTATAGATGGTGTGGATGGTACTTGATGGCAGAAGATTTGTATTCTTGGAAAGAGCTTCTTTCACACTTATTAATTAGCGTTTGTTGTGAATCTGATATTTCCTTCAATTTTGATTTTCAGATTAAACAAGATTAATGATAGGAGAATAGTCTCGTTCAATTCATAGGCATCAACATTTCAGATTAAACTTTCTAAGGTTGTAATTTTGAGCTCAGTACAAAATACAATTTTCTTTGAAATATCATTTACCGGGCAATGGAAGTCTCATGGAATCATATGGTTATATTGGTGTTATTCACATGTCATTTTACGCTAATTTACCAATAATTTGACAACAGGTAGTGAGTTGAATAAATATTGAAAGGATTAATTGAAATGTAATGAGATAACATTCCCTAAATTTGCCTCATTTCGACAACAATATTCTGTTCATTCACAGCAACATTATCTTACCTTTAATCATGATAAAAAGGGACACAATTAACAATACAATGATAATTTAGATGATGATAGGTATAAGTTTACAATAAATGAAACAATGGTAAAGAAGAGCCATATTTTTCTGGTTAAAAACTGGCTAAAACAAAATAAACATGATGGTTGAAAAAGAGGTAACAACAGTATAAGGTGAAAGGAAAAAGATACAAATTGGTTGGGTGAAAGAGAGGGAAAAATGACTGGTATGATGATAAAGGATGATGAAGGGAGAGGAAAAAGATGGTAAAATAGGCGTTAATCAGACATTAATTTATAAACAGGACGATAAATCGTCAAATTTGATCGTCATCATCACCACCGACACCAATTACACCACCATCATCATGTATCTATTACTTGAACAAAAAATGATTGTGAACATGAAATAAAAGAGAGCAAGAAAAGACTATTTGACTAGTTGGTTTGACTTGATTATGCTGTCATTATTAATCAGCCTTTTCTCACTGTTTATCAAAGTTTCATCAAAACAAATATAATTGTAATACAATTCAATTTTTGTTTATTCAATCATTTTTGTCTCAAAATTTCATTTCTCTATCGATTTATCGTTTTTACCATCAATTTTCAGGTTACAATCTTTTTTATCCTCCAACATCTTTTTTTTGCGTTCGTGTTGCTTTTTTCATTGCCTGTAATCAATTTGTTGATTATTGACGAATAGTCTTTCTATATCTTGAATGTATCAGTAATATACAAATGAATTGAACTGATCATGTTTTGAAGGCCAACTAGTTTAATTGAGATTTTGTTTAAGCGACAGAAAATATGCAAAAATCTATATTTCAATGCCTAAAGAATGACGCTATCAATCTTTTCCATGACTAGTATATGATTATCATATTCCGAATTGGTTGTTAATCGATGATATTGATTTGATTGCCAATTTCCAATTAATCTCTGATTTTGATAAAAAAATTGAAATTTTAATTCAAATTGGCGCGCCACTGATAAGCTGTTTGTTATTGGTTACTGTTGTTGGCAGACTCATGTATTGTCATCAAAACTCACACAATTCATTTTCAATTTATTTAATTTTCTCTCTAGTTTTTATCGTTTTATTATAATTTTTGTTATTACTATTTATGTTTTTCAATTTTCTTTTCTTATAATTAAACCCTTAAAGTTGCTTAAATTATGAATCGTGATCCTAATTATATGCCCGGCCCCATGCCAATGGGACCTAATCCAAATTATCCATCTCAGATGGGTTTCCCAATGAACTATGGCTTCCCTGGAGATCAATCTTTCTTAAATCAACAATTAGGTAATCATATGGCTCAAATATTTCAAGATCAAGTTTCCCAATATTCGGACAATCTTGTATCTAAAAGTAAAACCTGGGTCGGTAATAATGTAAGTTTAACCTCTCTGTTTTATGTGTTCACAAAACTGTGATGACATTTCTTTTCATTATTTGTTTTTCTTTCTTGACGTTGTCAATTTTAATTTTCACCTATTTTTCTTGAAATTGACCACAAAATTTTAATTTTTTTCCCCTCACTAGCTAAAATACTATTTTGCTGTTGATACTGGATATGTTTTAAAGAAGATACTTTTAATATTTTTCCCTTTCACACATAAGGTAAAGTTATTTAATTTGTTATTACCGGCTTTTATTGACAGACTAGATTACTCATCCGTTCTGCATTTCACGATCAATTTTCAATGTTGTCTATATTTTTTCAAACATTTCCTTCTTTTTGTTTCAGGATTGGTCACTTAAATATCGTAACGACGAGCAAATTGCTCCAAGAGATGATCTGAATGCACCTGATTTATACATTCCTTGGATGGCGTTTGTTACATACATTTTGGTTGCTGGTTATTTGCTCGGTGTTAATGATCGCTTCTCCCCCGAGCAACTTGGAATTCAAGCTAGCTCAGCCTTGGCCTGGTTAATTTTTGAAGTTCTTGCTACTATGATAATCTTATATTCTTTCAATCTCATGTCTGCTTTCGGATTTTTCCACGTATTATCACTTAGTGGTTACAAATTTGTCCCTATGATAGCTGCCTTACTCATTGCTTTACCTTTTTCTTCTATGGGTTATTACATTTCACTTGCTTATGGTAGCTTAGCGCTTTGTTATTTTCTTATTCGCAATATCCATATGGCCATTGAAACCTCACCAGCAACCCAAGGAGGAGGTCGTCAAAGCACCATAAAAGTTATATTCTTTTGTCTTGTTCAACCTCTTCTAATGTATCATTTAACTAAACATTTCGTTGTCTGAGTAAAACTTATACCTGAAAAGAAATCAAAAGAAAAACAAAATATTTATATTTTCCAAAAATCAATTATGTGACGTACTAAAGCAGAAATTCAAAAAAAACTAAAATCTTGTTTCTGTTTATCTCAATATTTCAAGAACATCTTGTTTCGTAATAAGAGGAAACATTTTATTTTTATCAATATTTCTATTTATTGCCTTCGTGTTACCATGTTAAAATTTTTGTCTTATTTTTTGGTCCAACTAGTTTTGATTTCTTGCCGAAGTAAGTAGTCGAATTGTTTTCTATTTGTTATTCAAAAAGTGTTAAATTGTTATTTTATTTTTCTATTTTTTCTACTTTTTCTAAAGCAATTTTTCCTGCAATTGAAAGAAATGAAAATGATTTTTGTATAACTCGCAATGGAGTCCAAGGGAAATGTACTCTCATTACATCGTGTCCAACATTGCGGATTTCCCTTCACCTACGACGAAATCATCCGACCATTTGTTCATGGGATCGTCTTTTTCCAATCATTTGCTGTCCATTAGTCTCATCCAGAGGTGATAGAGAATCTACTGAGTTAACTACATCAAAACCATTGAATAATCAATTGAAGGAAAAGGCCAAATGTGGTATTAAACCTCCGAAAAAATTTCAAGTTCACATTTATGTAGTTGGTGGAGACGAAGTCAAATCATCTACCGATTGGCCCTGGATGGCAGCTTTATTTACCAAACAGAATAACCAATATGATCATTTCTGTGGTGGGACCATTATTTCCGATTCATGTATTTTAACTGCTGCTCATTGTGTCAATCATCTTTTAAATCAAGTTAATAAACTCTACGTTGGAGTGGGGTCGAATGAATTGGATAAAACGACAAAAATTCCGATACGAAGAGTCGTTGTTCATCCAAACTACAGAGATTCTAAAAGTTATTTTGATATTGCGTTGTTGATGACATCTACCAAAATTAATTTCACAGATTCAATCATCCCAATTTGTTTACCTGGGCCTAAGGTAAGCAGTTTTACGGAGGATTCAACGCAAGATGATTCAAACCTCACATTAGTTGAAGTTGCTGGCTGGGGACGACAAGCTTATGGTGGACGAGCTGTCAGTAAATTGAGATCAGCTCGATTAGAAATATTGTCTCATCAAAAATGTAATCAATCTTATTCCAGTTTAAACACGCCATCCATTCCACAAGGAATCAAAACTGATCAACTCTGTGCTGGGACCACTAATGCGGAAAAGGATTCTTGCCAAGGTGATTCGGGTGGTCCATTAACTTTTAAAGCAAATGAGGAAATTGGTGTTGATGTTCATTATCAAATAGGCATAATTTCATTCGGTCGCCGGTGTGCAGTTAAGGATTTTCCTGGTATTTATACTAAAGTAAGCGATTACGTTCCTTGGATTGAGACACAATTGAACCAACGAACTGGAAGAGTTAACTTTGGATGAAACTGAAATTTTTGTAAATGGTATTTAAATGAGAAACAATTTTGATTTTTTTGGTTTCATTTATCAATTCTTTATAAAAGACAACAATTTAATAAATCTAAATCAAACAACTAATGTTTAAATCTCTCGCCAATACAGAAGAGAGCTTTCAATTAACATGATATTGAATAGAAGGGAAAAATAGAAAGAAAACAACGAAAAGATCATAAACAGGATTAAGAGAAAAGATATTCGCTAATATATTACAGAAATTAATATTAAAACTTTCTTCTTCTCGGTAATTAAATTAAGCCCATTGTTGGTTCTTCAATGACTTCTTTCAGGTTTGCTAAAAATCGAGCTGCTATCTCTTCGTCAATAACTCGGGCGTCAAATGAAAGAGTAAAATGCATCATTTTTACAACCCTTTCATCTTCAGTAACTCCAGGTTTAATTGCTCCAACAGCTAATATAGCCGATTGCGGGGGATTAATGACAGCAACAAATTGAGTAATACCAAACATCCCTAAATTAGATATGCTAAAACTTCCTCCTTGGTACTCTTCTGGTTTTAATTTACTAGCTCGAGCTCTTTCAGCTAAGTCTTTTACATTTTCACTGATTTGTTGAACTGAAAGGTTATCTGCATTTTTGATGATCGGAGTAATCAATCCGGTTGGAGTGGCCACAGCTATAGAAATATCAACAGTAGGTAACAATTTAACAGCTCCATTAGACTCGTCCCAGCTTGCATTAACTTGGGGTACTTTTTTTAAAGATAATGCTGATGTTTTAATGATCATATCATTCAATGATACTGCATGTCCCTCCTTTTTCATAGACACCCTTAACTGGGCTAATTTATCGACACAGCATTGACTAGTCATATAACCATGAGGTATACTTGATTTAGATAGTGTTAAGCGTTTTGCGATTGTTCGTCTCATCCCAGAGGTTTCAATGTCTTGCCATTTAGCCGCGCTAGGCCGAGGGAAACTTTTGTATACTTTAGTAGGAGTACTGGTTCCATCGCCACTGCTGACTCCACTCAATAAATCGTCTAATTTTCGAGGTTTCAGTTGTTTTTGGTTGATATATGTAAGCACATCTGATTTAAGAAGGACATTCCTTGGTCCCGATGCACTAATAATTGAACCATCCAAACCATATAATGCTAAAAGATTTCGAACACTTGGACCTGCCTTTAAATTGGGAGAGACTGCAGACGATAATGAACGAAAAGGTAGAAAAAAATTCATCCTAACAATTAAACAAGCTATTGAAAAATCTAATTAATAAATTAAATACAAGAAAAACATTTCAAGATTACATTGAAAACAAAATCTATTTGTACAGTTTATGCCTTGAATTTAACAGCTGACGACTATTTTCACAGAACCGTAGTTGCAAAATCATAAAGCAGTTGAATCAACAGTTTCAGGTTATACCATTCAGCAATCTAACTCTACCAAGTTAATCACTGAGAACAATTATCCTCTGGCTAAATTTTTTTTAGCATAGACTATAAAGCTTTGTAAACGATTGACAAAAGTCATAATTTTTAAGTTTGTTTATTGAATGAATAATAACTTACAGTTTCAGTTTTATCAAAAATATAAAAGATCTCAAAAACTTCTCTTGCGCTATCCGTGATTTTATGCATAGTTTGATTCATTTACTGAGAAATTGCGATCAATTGATACTGAATTAGGTTAAAAGAAGATTTTTAGATGATTTCGCGAAATTTCACTTGATCTTTCAACCATAATATCCATATCCATATGGAGAACGATAGAGTCCATAAAGTCTTGGATTATTGTAATAACCATAATATGGATAATAGCTGTAATATGGGTACCGGTAGTAATGGCGATAGAAGATTCCGTCGGTTGACTTTGGAATGACCAGTAAGAAGATGGCGATTAGGATAACAAGTGATTTAACCTGATAATATGTGAAAGAATAGAAATTGTGTCTTCGATTATGAATCACGAATCATTTGATTTATTAAATTGACTTACCCGAAGATCCATCAATAGATTGTAGTAATAGATGAAAAACCAAGTCAAAACAAATTGAAAGGCCAAACAAAAACAAAAAAGGTTTCAACAATAGAAACTGATTTTCTAACTTTTCAATTCATATATAAATATCATTCAAAAGATTTGATTATAATGAAACTAAATTTAGTTGATCAGGTCATATTTATTTAGCCTTTTCTCCCTTAATCACAATCAAGTTACCACAGAGTGAGAAGAAAATTAAATTTTAAGTTTTGAAGGTTAGATTCAGAAAAGCTTGATTCCGTTCAACCGTTGAACTGTTAAATTTGATATTTAAACTTTCACTTTTTTAATTAGTAATTATTTCATGTGAAAGATCATATTATAGAATTAATTGCTTTCATATTTAAATCTTCAATGCAAATACAAAATATGTATAAGACAAAATATACTTTTTTCAATCTTAAATTTTCAAAAGTCATTTCAATTTTAAAATGATTTAAGATTGTCAGACATTAAAGCACATTGTAACAATTGGTTAAGTTGTTTCGAGCTGTTGCATTGTTAGCTTGTGATACTCGATGTGATTCTGGGTCTTTCGCTAGCGCAGCTCTAACTTTTGGTACCAAAGCCGGTTCCAATTTGAATGTGAAGCACTACATCATGTGTATTTTTCAAGTTTAAAGATTCAATCACGGAATTCCATATTATAATAGATAGATAATAATAGATGACATTTTTCACTTGAAAATAAGTTTTCCAATATTCAATACAAGTCAAGTAAAAGTCATTTTTTTGCATTGCCATCTAGCGATAACAAGCTTACTGTAAGTTTGCTTAATTGAACAACCTTATGTTACTTAACTGTTTTAGAGATGGGCGATTCTCGATTAATCAAGTAATCGATATTTTTAGCGATTAGCGCAAGGGAATCGATTATATCGATTCTTAATTAAGGTAGGAAAATATTAAATCTTGAAGCGTTCAAGCAACTTTTCCAAGTTTGAGGCTTCTTCTTTACATCAATAAAGTACAAATTAGTCTTTTGCACAGCACTAAAATCACTGGAAGAGTCAAGTATTTTAATTCTGAGTTGCTAAAGTTATGCCGATTTCCCTTTTATTTTTTTCTACAAACATGGAATCGCAAAATTCGTGCGTTTTTAGCTCATGTGAAGCTTATCGATTCTCGCAAGAACTAATCGATGCTCATTTTCTGAAAAAGAATCGATCCGTATCGATGTAATCGAGGTAATCGCCCATCTCTAAACTGTTTAATATCATTCTTAAGTTTTGCATTTCAGCATTAATTATTGTGAGTCTAATTGCTACATTTATGTGTTAAAATGTGTAAAATTAATTTTTTAATAGGTCAATAATTCAAGAAAATTGGAACTGAAACACTTTTATTTACAAAATTTTTGTGAATTTAATTCAACAACGTGACTGTACAAATTATAATTTTTGTTCCTCATTTTGCATTGCAACCTCAACTTTGGCTTTGTCATCCAACTTGTCGCCTTTGTGCATTGCGACCTCAACGTTGGCTTTTTCATCTATCTCCTTGTCGCCTTTTCTTTGTCCAAATCTTATCCAACAGCTTACCAAAAGCGGATATAATATGATTGTGGCTACCAAAAGAAATACAGCTCCAGGTTGATGAGCTATTGTCAAGCTAAATATTGAAGTATACAAGAAAGTACCACCTAACCCAATGAAGGTTTCAAGAGCTGTTGATAGAGTAAAAATTTGAGCCGATTCAGCTGAATCAACTGTAGAAACTATGAGACTACGAATAGCTACACTGGAGATTCGTCCACATGAACCAATAACGTATCCAGCAATGTAACCTCGAATGGTCAAGAAAATTCCTCTGATGGCAAAAAAAGCCGCCAATGATAAACATCCAAATATAGCAATGCTTGAATCAGATAAGCCTAAAAATTTCAAAATTGATGGCCCAATAACGGTTGCAATGGTTGGTGGTATATAAACAAGTGTCAACATTGACGTATATGCTTCTTCTGTGAGTCCATAAACACGTTGAGCAAACTGATAGGCAATACCGTCTTCACTGCCAAGAGCCGCATTACAAATTGCACCTGAAGTCACCAACAAAATCAATCTTAATCTACCCGAATCTGGTCTTTTCTTTAAAAACAATAAGGCACACTCTTTAGCTCTAGAAATACGGAAAACATCGGTGATGACTTGAATGAAAGATGCTTTCTCCTTTTCAACGTTTTTTTCGTAAACAAATGCTGGTTTCATCAAAATGGTGTAAATCAATCCAAACAAGTGCAATGACAAACCAACTATAAAAACCCCAGCAAAATTTTTACGCTGACCAGATATCCATGGGTCTTGAGCAAGAATGTGACCACCCAAAAAACTAGAGCCAAGCATAGCTGTAACCGAAGAAATGGAATGGTAAAGATTACTAACAAAATTGATCAACAGTTAATCCAATTCTCACCAATTTTGACAAAAAGCTCGATCACGGAAAAGCGTACGATTACCAGATGAGGTGGAGTACCCCATGAAATAGAAGTGTAAACAGCACTGAATACCAAAAATATACCACCACTTAATGAAGAGGGTACACCAGAAAAAAGTAAAGCCCACCAAGCTGATGGATAAAAGATTCGGAAGAAGCTCCAATCAAATACATGCTGACAGAAGGAGATGAAATTCATATCTTTATATGATACTTACGAGCAGTGAATACAAACAGATTGACCAGCGTTAGTGAAGTTTGAAGAATGGCTCCACAAAAGGCTAAAATAATGAATGGCTTGAAATATTTCGGATAATTTCCCAGCCAATAGCCAACAAAAACTGACATGACCAGAGAAGGTATACTGCCAATTAAGAATTGCCAGTTTTTAAATGTATTGGTGGCTTGCAGTATCGCCTGGGTTCCATCTGAATCGGGAAAAGATGTAAAATTTGAACAAAATTGTTCATCCAGTTTAAGATGGTTTAGGCACATTTTATCCTCCATTAACTGTGTCACAGCTATGCCTTGCATCATTCCAGCAAGGGCAAGAATGACCACACAGAAATCAAATTTCATTAAATTTAAATAGAAAAGGAGAAATTTAATTTTTTCTGACATTTCAGATTTGTTTTGATTGTTTAACTTCTACAAAAAATGGAACTGGTAAATCTATCGAATCGATTTTGATCCTAGCGATGAACACTTAACAGTAGACGATTCGACTCTGGTCGACCCAATAGTGGCCTCAATTGTTTTTATAGCAATATCTTACAAGTAATCTTAATCCCTCACCCAATTACCTTAAAGGTTATCTGGGTATCAGTACAGACCACTGGATAATCTGTGATTAAGTCAACATTGTCATCAGTTAAGCCTTCCCATTGAACGGGATCTTTTGATAGACCAATAGATCAATAGATCAAATGAAGATCGGTATTAACAATTATTTCAACCTTCAATTTTGTAAGATTTTCTGCATTAATTTTAATGGAAAAAGTAACCTCTGAGTGCATCTCCACCTCCAGTTATTTCGAGGAATTAAGATTATAATAATAAAATACTGATCCTAAGATGAAATTACGAAAAAAATGCATTTATCATTATTGATCTTTTAAAGATCAGCTGAAAATAAAATGATTTGCACATGGATAAGCTTAAAATTATCTCAATCATTGATCCAAACAAATGAAATCATTTCAGGGTTTTGTTCAATCAAACCTTCGATTAGATAGAAACTGGATAAATCATTACAATTATAACTTTTTGAATACAAAGATGTCTGCAACCGAGAAGTAAGACACACAAAGACAATTTTTTATATTTTATGTTTGAAGATTGTTTTATTGACAGTGATTAAAAGTGAATTATGAACTTACAGTTTCAGTTTTGTTAACAATATGTGCAGCAAAGAGGTAACAAAAGGTAACAAACATCTTTTGAACTATGAGCTGTATGAATTATTAAATTAAGATGATTGATCATTATTCATTATTGGTTATCAAGCCTTTGGATTAAAAATTTCACGAAATGAGGGCCACTTGATCTTTGTCAACCATAATATCCATAATATGGGGAACGATAGAGTCCATAAAGTCTTGGATTATTGTAATAACCATAATATGGATAGTAGCTGTAATATGGGTACCGGTAGTAATGGCGATAGAAGATTCCGTCGGTTGACTTTGGAATGACCAGTAAGAAGATGGCGATTAGGATAACAAGTGATTTAACCTGATAATATGTGAAAGAATAAAAATTGTGTCTTCGAATGTGAATCACAAATCATTTGATTTATTTAATTGACTTACCCGAAGATCCATCAATAGATTGTAGTAATAGATGCAAAACCAAGCCAAAACAAATTGAAAAGGCCAAACAAAAACAAAAAGGTTTCAACAATAGAAACTGATTTTCTAACTGTTCAATTCATACAAAAATATCATTCAAAAGATTTGATTATAATGAAACTAAATTTAGTTGATCAGGTCATATTTATTTAGCCTTTTCTCCCTTAATCACAATCAAGTTACCACAGAGTGAGAGGAAAATTAAATTTTAAGTTTTGAAGGTTAGATTCAGAAAAGCTTGATTCCGTTCAACAGTTGAACTGGCAAATTTTGATATTTAAACTTTTACTTTTCAATTAGTATCTTTTTCATGTGAAAGGTCAATCAGTGTGACGCTCAAATGGTATAAAATAATTCACTTGACGTCTCATTTATCGGTTCTTGATTACGAATGAACAGAATTTACTTAACCTTGACTAAAATCACAAATTATAACAGACTTCCAATCAATCTCAATGGCATTAGCATTAATCCTTTTGTGACACAAGTGCGGTTCCTCTGCACCTAAATTATGAATTACATATAAACTCAATGTTAGTTAGTCCAAATGAGACACCTAATCCTTTCGTTGTGCCGCATCTTTGTTGTATCAAATGTTTCAGTTTCACATAAGTTGACTATCAGACAAAATAAGATTTACATGATATTTAGATTGTTAATTGTCTCCTATTAATAGTTTACGTGATTAGGTTGCCCTAATCATACCAACGTTTGATTTGTTTCTAATATTATATAATTTTCTGTTTCAAATAACTCAATATAGCCATTGGAAATCAGATGCAGATGAAAAATCATTGAGATCAATCATTATCTAAATAGTGTTTATTTAATTAGGGTAATTTACGATGAAAGGATCAATCAAATCAACCTGATCAAAAACTTTTTAAACACAAATTGTTAGCACACAATTCAAACGCTTAAAGTTAAATAAAATGTAAATAAAAGTTCAAATTGATTATTGTATAATACGAAATGCAAGATAATCTTAAGAAAGTTACCTGAAATAATACCAGGTATATTAAAGCTAGTTATCCACTAGTTCTAAGATAAAGATCAACTTGTCTATTATTATGGCTTCGATGATGAAAATGACAAACCGCTCTATAATATTGTTTTATATTGTATTCTTTGTAGATCATATCTATTTTTTGACGCCAAATCGCTGTCCCAAATCCTGCAACTGCTTGAATACGCTGAGAAAATTCCAGATTAAATTGGTCGTCATTGACAAGATTTCTTATCTTGTTCAAGAAAGCTTCAGTTTCCACATGTTGACAGACATATTGGCTACATACTCCTTCTGGAACTTGGCTTATTGGTATTAGGCGATAATGAATAACCATTCGGTTGACAAGAAATGTGTCATGAAAAATATCTATTACGAGATGAAAACGTTCGCCATCAAGAAAAGTTCTACCATCAAAGCTATCATTTCTGCTTCCATAACTATGAAGAAGTAGATTAGCAATAATCAATTAATACAGATGTCAATAAGTGCTACTTAGAGTTTCGTGTTGATATAACTTATTGATCAGACATTGGGTTTTCAATCAACTAATAACTGTTAAGTATCAATGAAAAATGTCAGTTTTACACGAAAATACCAAGTTATTTAGCACTTTACTGTTGTTGATTAAACTGATTGTAGATAAATTTTAGAATTTTAATTACGTGAAAGTGTTTTTGAGGATATCAGCAGGATGCCAGTCGCCCTCAACTTGGACTACATGCCGAATAATGGTGAGGGTAAATTCACTCTTGATCCCTGTGATTGATTCAAGCTATAATTTTTAGATGAAGAGTTATGAAAATTATGAGCATTGCTGTTGAATACAATCTAATTTACTTACCTGATCGAATACTTGTTGCGGTTTGTAATCATATTTACTATCATTCCAATCAATAGCTATGTCATGGTATTTATTTAGAAATTTCACTTTGAAAGTAGCTGAATAAAATGAAAGGTGAAAGGGTATTTCTTCAACTTGAAATGAAAATCAACTTACTTTTATCTAAATTGTTCCGTTGTTGCATTTGAACAAGTATTAATTTCACTTGATTTACGCTTAACTTTAAAATCAACAGTTGAGATGTTTCAAACCGAAATTAAAACAATCTTACAAGATACAGAATTGTTTTTTTCACAAAAACAACCAGATTATAGGACTAAACCAGTTTTGACCTGAGGTCAGGTGCAAGGTAAAAGACCCAATTTCAGCTAAGCAGTAACATGGAGTTGGTTACACAGATGAAAATAGACCTACTCAGTCAACTGTAAAAGACAAAAGCATTGAAAAGTCAATCCATAATTATTAATGATTGCTGTGGAAAACTTAGAATGCCGCCAGTCCATGATATACTTGATAAGTGTTGGAATTGGTGACAAATCAAACCAGAAATTGAGGTTCATTGAAAGATTGTTTCATCAAAGTAATGAGAAAATGTTGTTTAATCAACTTTAATGAGGCCCATTCATTGTAACGAGCAATCAAAAATCATTGATAGCTCAATCTACAGCTTTCAAGTATTGCAATCTCTTCTGTAAGATAATGTTTGTTTAATTCATTAATATTCTGAAAGAATCAGATCAACAACTTTATCAAAACATAAATCGTTAATAGATCTGCTTTTTGAATTTGTATAAAATGATTGGTAGTTTGGTTCAAAAGTGAAAACAGAGTTCCTCATTGACGTCGATCAATCGATTTTAATTAGAGAAAATATTTTCTTGACTCTTTTTTACATAATTGTGATACAAAATTGCCTTGATGGCAATTTGGTTTCAATTTAAATTACTTTGTAAGTGATAGTCAAAGTAAACATATCTACAACAATTAATCAGCAAGAAACCAACGACAAGAATATGAATTAAAACAAAGTGATATTACAAAATTTACACATTGAAAATCAATAGAGAGTTCGCAATTCTCTTTATCATTTTGCTACAATTTAGCAAACACAAAAATGACGCATTCCAAGTAAACGTAAATCTTTGCATTTCTTGTACAAATTTCAATGATTTCAATTTGATTTTGCTCGATTGATCGTTTCTCGTTATCCGCTCATTGGTTTTATTGCAATTTGATAAATTTGGTAATCGATTTGATTCTTTTGTAAAGGAATCTCTTGGAGATTACATGAATGGAAACAATTGCCCAAAGCATAGCGGATGCCATGAAAGCGGTCCTAATACCAGTTAAGACCATTTCTCGATATACACCGAAATGAGCAAGTGGAGCAGCAATTGGCAGAAGATAACGTTCAGCGGCAAGGAAAGCTAAACATCGAACTAATTCCGGGAAACAAGCGAACCACCTGAGGAAAAGTTAAAAAAATAAAATGATCGTTTGAATAAATTAATGCTTTTTAGGATAAACACTCATTTTTTATATCAAATACTAACCTTCCTTCCAGTAAGAATCCAACCGTGGTTATTGATGTAAGAAGGGAAACAATGCCACAAGTGACTGTGAATTGAGTCAAACTATGCTTTCGAAGGTTAAGCTCGTTATAAAACAATAGACAAAGACCAAAATGAGCCATAACATAAATCTTTTGTAATAGAGGAATTTGTGGATCCCAATATGTGACAGGATGTTTGATCTGTAATGATAGGAAGATGAGAAAGACAGTGAGTTTCTTTGTTTCAAATTCAAATGACAAAACAAGTATAATGGGTAAAAATTAAATAAATGAGCGTTTTGATATCAAAAATAGCCAAGAAAATCAAATATGACACGAATGATAAATTCATTATTTTCATACAACTCAGCTAGAGTTGCACCCATTCTATAACCCATTAAAATCTAGACGGATTAAGCAGGATTTGACCAACTGAATTACCTCTGGAATATCTGAAAGCAGTCCTAATCTTGGCTTTCCAGGTTCCCAGCCTGGACCCATGAAAGGCACCATAATTTTATGCTTCCATGTTTTCATTTCTCCCATTTTCTTGAACATGAAATACCATGAATGGAATTGAACGTAAAATGGATTATAACTTTCAACAGGATGCACCAATCCATAGGCGACTGGTTCCTTTGGATCTTCTTCTTGGAAAGTACCAAACATACGATCCCATATAATTAAAACTCCAGCATAATTCTTATCGATGTACTTTGGATTGCGAGCTATAAACGAGGGAAAACAAAGGAAATGGTTTAAGCGTATTGACGTTGTTAACATAGAAAAATGGCTTTTTGGGTGAAACAAGTTTATGATAAAACAATTTGTCACTAAAATTGATTAAATATTTGCTTTAAGATTTTGTAATCATAACTGAAAGATAATAAAGTGCTGAAATAAAACATTGTAATAATTTGTCTATAACGTTTCTACCTTTAAAGTTTTAAGGAGTAACACTAAGAAATTATGCATCAACACAAGTTTAACAGCTAATTTAAATTGTAAACTTGTGTCGCCAAAGCTAAATCTAACTGATTTGAGTGATTAATTGTTTTACAGATCAAACAAGGTCACTTTTTAATATCGATAATTACCATGATGTACTCTATGATGACTTGGTGTGTTGAGAATGTATTCAAGAGGTCCAAGCTTTCCGACAACTTCAGTGTGAACCCAGAACATAAATAATTCACCCAATTGAAGATGGGCCAAGAAAATTGGTGGTGGAATACATAGTGCTAATGGAACATAAGTAAACTGAAAAAATAAGATGAAAAGCAAGAGAAAAAATGAAAAGTTAGATTAAAGTCAAAGCAAAATCAGCTGGCAACAAATTGTTGAAAATTGATATTCACTTGAAGCTGTTGGCTCAAGTATGATTTCAAGAGGTACACTTATTAATCCAGTAATTTAGTAGCTTACAAGCTTACGACAACAAAATGGTGTTTTAATTACCTCAACAAATTCACTCAAATATTAAAGATTAACTTACCCATGCAGTGAAAGGTTGAAGTACAGCTTGACGAAGAGCAGCAACCAAAGTGAAATTTTCACCACTGTGATGATTCTGGTGGATTGCCCAAATAAATGCAATCTCTAATGGTTGAATTATCAATTACAATAAAAAATAGGAAAAGGTTAAATTAAATTTCAAAATAAAAATCAAACAATAACAATGAAATAGGTCAAGATCATTAAAAATATTTTTGTAAAATTTTGTGTAACGGTCAATTGTTGATGAGTTAATGATCCCTAAAGTGAAAGCGAAGACATTTCAAAACAAAACCTAAATAAGCATAAGATCCGTTAAGGCTAAAATTACAGACTTGTAACTGACTAATCAATGGTTTCTTTTTTTGTGTATTTCAATATTTTAAACAACAATAATAAAATGATGAAATTGTGAATAAATTACATTAATAACAGTAATGGTTAAGCTGATTCTGGAAAAATGATCATGTTGATTTATTGTTCAATTTGTGCTATAAATGAGTCAAAGCCATCAAAGGGTTGATTTTTCATCAATATTTCAAGCCAAATTTAACTCTAGCTGATTTTTTTATTCCTTATTTGTGTGTTTCATCCTGTTTTGTCAACTCTTTACAACTTACCGTGAGCTATTCGATGAGCCCAATAGAAGCCAAAATCAATGGCTATGAAACATAAATACCAGGTCCATAACGAGTCCCATGGAAGTGTTGTTATGCGGAACCTCTCATATACAAAACAATACATTATAATTTCAATACTTCGGACTTTTATTCTGTTGGCAAATCAAATTTTGGGAAAGAAAGAAAATAGAAAATGTAAGTTTATTAAACGTCAGTTATAAGTTTGTTGTACGAGTAAAATTAAAGAACTTGAAACAATCAAATGTAACAATTGTCCATTTTAATGGTCAAACTAATGACCTTCTGTTTCTTATATTTCAGGCTTAGGAGTTACACTGAAAGAAATGCTCATTTTTTGTTGATGTTGGAAATCAATTTGGAGCCAGTTTATTCGAAGGATTTGACGTTAATTTAACCAAAGAATAAGGTGTTGATGTTACAATAGATGTTGGATTTGTTGTTAATATTAACTTGACCAATTAGTTAAAGCCAGCAATCAAACTGTTTACACCATTAAACTGGACTAACTTGAACTAATCATACTGAAAACTTAATCAGTCTTGAAAAATATTGACCTGGTTTGGGAAATGAAAGCGAAAACATGGCTTGAATCATCTAAATCGAGAAAAAATTAATCATCGTCTTAATCAACTCTCTCCCATTGGATGGCTATTAAGTCAATTTTTTTCAATACTAATCAATTAATTTTTGAGGCCAACAGTTATGGTGTTTCAGTAAAAGCATTAGAAATCGATTTAAATGGACTTAAAAAATCAAACGCAAACATTTAGGATAAAAGTCATAACCAAATGAATTGACAACATGAAGCAGATTTAATCAACAATTAGATTGAGATGTGATAAACTGAAATGGTGTTCAAATCAGAAACAATAGCTGGATTACTTGGAATGGACTGAAGATGAGTTTCGCTGCTGTCATGTTGAGACTATCAGTATTGATTTATCAATTTTCAATTGCTTATTGAGATACATGATTCCAACTAATCAAAAATATTAACAATAAACCGTCATAAACAAAGTAATGTAAATGAAACTTTCATTTATTCCTGGTTTCAACTTTAATTTGAATATAATCTTGATTCTCAAGCCGTTGACCTGATTCTTCACTGTTAACCATGTTTCCTCAAATATTATATCATTCATTTCATCTTCTCCATCAGCATCTGAGGGACCGGTTATTTTTACTCACCTCACTTTCTCACTTTCATCAACATCAACATCATCCACATCGTTATCATTACCATTCTTTGATGTTTCGTCATTTTTTTTGACCATTTTACTGGACTCTCTTCAAATTGAATGCAGTTGTCTGATTGTCCAGAAGCAAGAAGCATTATTTAATGACGGTGACGATGAAATAAGCATAATGAGGGTGATGAGGATTGCATCTTAAAAATACAAGCCAGAATTACTTATAATTGTGAAATTTGATTGTCTTCAGTTAAACAAAAGCCAACAAAACAAGCTCAATTTAATGTAAAACCAGGTTGTAAAGCATGTTTTCCTGACCCAAACCAAAACATTTTTTACGCATTATTGTTAAATTGCTAATAATAATATTGTTGTGAAAAAAATTGATTTAGATTTTGATTCTTAAATCAATACCAATAAAAAAAACAATCAAATGGTTTCTGTATTAGTCAAAGGCGTTGCTTTTCAAATAACGCACACTGGACACTTGGTCTTGCTATGATTTACAGGCGATTCAGATTGACTGCGAACAATATATTTCTTAATTCCTATTCTAAATTATTAATTAACCATTATAAGCAAAAAACGTTGATGAAAATACGTTTACGAAAAAAAGTAAAGCAACTGTGAGTGTCAAATATCCAGTTGTGTTGAGAATCACAGTTAACAGCAAGCCAGTAGCGATGTAAGCCAGGCACACGAATAATGGTCTGAGATTGCGAATTTCATCAAGCTAATTGATTATTTAGTTTAGATTAATCTGTGGTAAACCTGAGAAATTACAATTTGATTTAGAAACTATGATAAATGGAGAGAAAAATTGTTTGTTCAATATTTTTGTAAGGTTCACTTGAGAAGTGGAAAATGATACAAACAATTGAATTTAACTTTAATTTTACAGTTTTCTCTATTTGATTATGATGTTGTCAATCACTCTTAAGATGATTGTTTTGTTTGTTAACACACCAAAGTGGAGAGTTGAAGGAAATCATCATGATCATCATCAGTTGTGATCACTCACAGTATCAATATGTTGATCCCTTTTATCAAAACAGACTACAATGAATAATGGTCAAGTAGCTGAACACTTCTCAATGAGCAGATTTACATCAATCAATTTAATTGTAAACATTGTACAATTGTTTGATGATATTTTCAATGCAGACGTATCAACTGAAGAGTCACAGAATAAACAACTAGCAATAAACATTGAAAAAATAAACACAATACACTGTGTATACAAAAAAATACTAGAAACACATGTTTTACGTAAACAGGTCTCGGAATGATCATAGATTTATCGGTTTAAAATTGGCAGAAGGTTGTCACAATTGATATTGATTGTTTCGCGTCCTTCATTTACTAACCAAGATTAACAAAAAGTAAACACCAGTAAACAACAATTTACCTTAAACATTCTTGAAATATTCCTGAACTTAAAGATGCTATGGAATCATTGGTTCTAGCCAATCCTCTGCGAGTCACCAGGCGAACCGCGTTTTCCAAAACAACCATTAAAACAAAAAAAGGAAACATCTACAAAATTGAGAAACAATTATCAGTAAATTTAAATTATTCATAGATTCTGTGGTTATTCATGAAACCCAATTTTAGGCTTAACATTCTGGTCAGTTTACCGGATATCACTTTTTGCCTACAGATCAAGTTAACCGGTTGAGAGTAAAAATTGGGTTAACCAGTTAAACACACAAACAAAATACTTTGCTCTGGGCATTAAAATTTTCTTAATCATTTCCGGATAAAACAACAAATTGTTTCACTTTAATGACCATATTAATTACAAATCTTGCATTTGAATAGCGAAACAATATTAAAAATTTCGTCTCAAGAAATTTAGATTTTCATTCAGAGGAATTTCTGGTTCCCTATTTTGATTCACCGCAAATTCATTTTAGGACAAGTGAAAGGTTGAATAATCCAACTGTACAGTCAATTACTAATCACATTTTCATTTTGGCTAATTAAACAATTCTAAGCAATTGGACGCGATTAAGTTGAAAAAAGCTTCTTTGAGTTGCTAACCAATGTTTAACCAGAATCAAAGACACTGAAGCTCTATTACATTTTGAACGTTGGTTCAATTTTGATCTTAAATTTGACAATAAACTAACTTACCTCAACCACATATCGAGGAACCATTTCAAGCTTTGGATACATTGTTTCATAAGGTGACACCAAATAAAATAAAAATCGTATTTTACTGAAAAAATGTCCAATTCCGTCTGAAATGGATCCATCATAAAAATATGACGTCTCATTGGCAAACGACATCGACTCAAGGGTTGATGTGTCAACCATTTTGCCTAACTGTAGATCACTTGGATATAAATTTGCCAGCAAATCCACTAATTCCAATCAATGGACACGATTATTGAATGTAAGGACAATACAGAACTCGAAAATAAATTAGAAAATCCTTTTGGATGTAAATTTAATGTTGTATGAATAAAAACAAATGACTTTCACTGGATTTGTTGGATTTCACGGAAAAGGAATCAGACTTTAACTTGAATGGATATTTTGAATGAAAACTAAAAGGATGATTATTATGAAAATTGAGGATCAGGATGATGATTAAAGTGAGAAAGAGAGGGATCAGGATAGTCTCTCAATGAGGACAAACTCAATTACTTGGCATAAATATAGTCAGGTTTTTTACCTGATTATTTGGCTTTTATAATGTTAACTTATTTTGCTTATGAAAAGGTATGAAGCGTTCTTGGTCAGTTCAGTACTATTATCGTTTATACCAAACTTCATGTTTTTTTACTTTCTTCTAATCATCATTTTCATCATCACAAACATCAGCTTGTGTTATTACAGCTAAACTTCATCTCCTCCCTCTTGGTATTTCTTGCGTTCGCCATCTCATCCTACTTCATGTTGTTGTTCAAACCTTCCCATTGAAAGGGAAAAAAGGAAGCGAATTTGTGAAACATGATGAAAGGAAGAAGATGGTGGACAAAAGATGAAAAAGTAATGAGACGACGACAATTAAGATGTAGAGATTGAAATTCAAAATCAAAGGTGAAAAAGTCAACTCCAATCTTTTGGTAATGTTGTTGACTCCGATTCATTTTCATTTAGAGTTCATTATTATGATTATTTGTTGAGATATAATATTTGTTGGTTAAATCTAATCAAGGAATAATGGTTATTTTAATTGTTAACTTTGTGTGAAATTAAACCTTAAAATCTATGAGAAATATGTTATTCCCTTCTCTGTTGGGTTTGCTTTAATTTCCCTCCAATTTTACTTTAACTTTTACCGGTATCTGTTGGTTGAAAATAAGACTTTTTTGTTAGACTCTTGAGCTCACACTGGTGTTACATTTTGGTTTTGTTTTGTTTTGTTTTTTAGTTTTATCTTTATTCTGAAAATTTATTTTACGTTTAATATGTTATTTAAGAGGATTATTTTCGCCAATTAATCACTTGACTTAGTGTTTCATCTTAATCGAGCTTTGTTCGGTGAGTTTTCCTAAATAATAACATGTACTTGTCTCATACTTGCTGTCTTTGCTCTTACAACTCATTTGGATTCTTTTTTTCTATCTTTAATAGCTTCTTTCTTTTTGTGTAATCAGCTTGTATCTTTATTTTCTTGATCATTGATCAACTATTATGCCTACTTATTTGAAAGATTTCTTACGATTGTAACTTTACCGGTGATATTGATTTCAACTGTCCAAGACGGATAAACTACCAAAAGACAATGAACCGTGAAAATGAATCGTTAACTGTGATTTTGGTTAGCAAAAGCTCTGATGTGCCTGATTTAAAAATAAAAGAAGGAGATAAAATGATGATTGGTCGTAATCCGATAGCCAAGATTAAGAATATCAAGTGTCCTCGTAAATTATATCAAGTTGAATTGCGAGCTGAAATATCCAATTGGTTTGTTTTTCTAACCAATCTCAAAACAAATGAAACCGGAATACTAAAAGAAGGAGAAACTATCAAAGGGCCTGGTTTTGAGTATGAAGTCAAATTTGATAAAGTAGCCTATGTATCTGAACCAAAAGATGATAATAATGAAATCAGTGCTATTCGTAAATCTTGTGATGAGGATGGTGAAGATTCAGTGAATAGTACACCAACAAAGAAGCCTAAATTGGAATCTCCTATTAAAAAAATAATGGAAAGTGAACAGCCGTCTCATTGGGAAGAAGTAGATGAAGGCTCTGTTCAAATATACCATTATCTAGGAGGAGGTAAACCAAGTTCTAAAATCGCCTGTTTTGATTTCGACGGAACCCTTGTCAGCGTTAAAAGTGGTGCTAAATTCCCTAAAGATGGTAGTGATTGGAAACTTTGGGACAAATCTCTTCCAGGCTTGATCCAAAAGAGTACTGATGGTGGCCATCGTTTTGTAGTTTTTAGCAACCAGAAAGGTGTATCAACTGGTCATATGTCAATTGATAATGTTAAACAACGAATTGAATCTTGTCTTGCCGCAATTGGTGTTCCCTCTATTGCCTTTCTGGCTCTTAAAGATAATATTTATCGTAAACCGCGACCAGGGATGTGGTATCTACTGCAGAATTGTTATAATGATTTAATCGATATTAACCTGGAGGAAAGTTTTTTTGTCGGTGATGCTGCAGGAAGAAAAAGCGCACTCAACAAGGATCATAGTAAGGCTTACAATTAATACTCATTCCAACATGATTTTAATCTAATCATTTTTCATTCATTTATTATATCAATGATCTTTCATTTCTCTTAGGCTGTGCTGATATACTTTTTGCTATGAACAATCAAATTGGATTTCTCACACCTGAACAATTTAGAGTTGGGAAAAGACCGAAAAAAATTGGCGATATCAGCCCTAACCTTCATAATCTACCTCCTTTCAACCCAAAAGCATTGCGTGATTCCAAGGCATCCCCTTTCCTCGAATTAGATGAAAACGGAAAAGAATCATCTAAATTTGCGAATCTCAACGAAGTTTTGAATAAAATCAATCTAGTCTCATCCAATGGTTCTCATTGCATCATTTTTGTCGGATTAGCTGGCGCAGGTAAATCAACATTTTTCACTGAAAGATTAGCAAAGGAAGATTATTACCGTATAAATCGTGATGAGCTGAAAACCATGGAGAAATGTGAACGGGAGTTTGAAAAGCATATTAAAGCCAATTCTGGTAAAACAGTCAAACTTGTCATCGACAATATAAATAATGATAACGCTTCTCGAAGCTTATGGTTGAACCACTGTAAAACTCATAATTTGACACCAATCGCATTTCATTTTAACATAAGTCGGGAACATGCTATCCATAATAATACTTATCGTCGTTTATTGAACCTTATGTGTCCCGATAGTGCCAGTCCAGCAGTGCCTGATTGGATTATTAGTAATCAGGCTAAAACTTTCGTCCCACCAACACGCAAAGAAGGTTTCTCTTTGGTCTTCAAAGTAAACTTCCAGCCTATCTTCGAGGACCGAGGTGACCGAGAGATTGAACTCTATTACATGTATCTAAATGAAAAATGATCTAAACACACACCAATGTTGATGTTAATTTTGTTCCAAGCATTTTTTCCTTTCATCCATCTACAATTACTACAGAAGTGTCTTCTCTTCAAGTTAGCGCACACAGTTGAAACGCTTGATAATATTTTGGAAACCAAAAATTTTCTATGTAAACTTGCACAAATGATTTTTTTTATTCTTGTTACTCGATATTGTATCTATCAATCAGTAAATTGATCTTAAATAAATTACATAGAACCTAATTTGTATTTGTATTCACTATTTGCTAAAATCAAATTCAAAATGATAGTAATTATCTCTTCAATCAAAATTTGAGATTTATTAATGTCTGAAACTTGCATCCACATGTAGCAAAATTTAAGAGGAAAATTTAACTTTCAATCGTAACATTTGATTTACCTTTGGTTTACATCTGTTATTGAAAAGATAATTTCATGCGTTTGCTATTGGAATCAGCTTAATCTATTGTTTGATTATTTCAGGTAGCTTCTGGTTTCATATTTGAATGATGAATACAAGTCAATTGATAAATTAGCGTTAACTTGAGATTGATTTATCTTGTTTTTGTAAATTTTACCGAATTGAACTAAAAGTATTCTTAAGTGACTTACATTCAAGTTGCACTTCAACATTTCCACATCTCTATTGACTTACCAAATTAATTTGACCAAAAACTACCGAAATAATTTACCGATATCAATTAGTTGACAAATTTGAGGTTTTATTGATTAACTAAGATTGAACAAAGATTGTAATACATTGTATATTTAATGGCAATAGAAGTCAGTTTAAAATCTTCCACTTTTATCAAAGGATGGCCATAGTTGTTTAAGGTAATTAATATTTAGATATCATTTAGTTACTGAGGTCAAGACGGATGAAGGTCCGGTCGATGTTCCTTGATTTGACAGAATGTTAGATAATTTAGAACCAGTGGAAGTTAAAAGTTTCATTGCTTTAGATGAAGATTCACTATTAAGAAGTTTGCCAACAGCCTCATCTGTTGTTGTCTTTAATGTTTTGAGTGCTCCTTGTAGTTGGTCAATAACTGATGTAAGCACGGGCTCGTAGCCTTTATTGGACATCATATTCGCCAATTGTCCAACTGTGAGGCTAAGAATTTTCAATGGATTTTTAGAGCCCTCGGACGATTCATCTTCTGTACCAGATGCAACAGGTGAAGTACTTGGTTGTCCACTTGTTACGGAACCAACATTTTTATTGGATCTTTTAAATCTTAAGTGTTGGCCAACATTTTCCTGGTTAATGGATAAACCTTGGTGAAAGAGAGAAACGAAGAGACACGAAAAAATAATAAACTTAATCATAATTAGTAAGGATAATCAGCTTTTGTGGTGAAGTTGTATTGATCAAAATGAGCGATCAACAATAATGTGGTAACAGTAGGCTTACACTTTTGTACTCTATCAACGCCAGAGTTATCGTTAATTCCAATCAATATTTCAATAAATTTATTTCATATAGACTTATAATAATTGTATTGATGTGTGTGAGTTGTTGAAAAAATATTAAATCATTCTGACAAACCAATGTAAATCTACAGGTAAATTGTCTAGTATTAACATTCCATTTAAAGCTTCAATTTCCTTCATTACTAATACGGTCAGTATTATATTTCATCAATTTGAGCGTGAAAATCATCAATTAGCATGAGTTTGTTTATTAAAAGATAACTCAGTTGAAGCTAATACGCTTATCCGAGATTAATCAGCCAGTCTCATTATAACCCTACGCAAACCATCAACAAGTGTTTCCGCAGCAATCAGGTTTAGTTGCCTTCAATAAAATCATTTTATCCAGTGCTATTCTTTAATTACGATTGTTGAAGTACCTTTCATTTCATCTCAAGGTTTTATCGCAGTGATTCCCATTGATAAACCTTGCTAATGATCACGATTAAATAACACTATCAACATGACCATAGACCAAAAGATGTATTTGAATAGCTGATGTTGCCCTATGAAATGATAATTATCTCAAGGTTAGAACCAATTAAATTTAACAATTTCCAGGTAACAATGTTAATTATTAGGGAGATGTATACAATCGTTATCCCCTGTAGTCCTAAATACTAGCAGGCTGTTCATTTATCATCAAGGTTCAAGTCTTGAACGGTCCAATTGAAGGAATCAAACTTTCTTGGTTCGACATAAACTTAAATATTTAATGGATTATAATTTAACCATTTGGTTTATGGTATTGGTTGTCGCTTCTCGAAATTCATTTCTAAGTTACAAAATTGATTCGTTATGATTCGTTCATTGTACAATATATAAAGAAAGACAGTCATAGAAAAAAAACGTTCATCCAAAGTGTCTGAGGTCATCAATTGGCATTCTTGTGAGCCGTCTGTTTACTTCAGTCCAATTTGCGAAGATGATTATGCTTAAAAATAATGGATAGGATGGTTATGATGATGACGATGGTGATATCAATGGTGTTGTTGGTGATGATTATAGAGACAATGATTATGATGGATGACAGATATGTATGCAATTATGGCGCTTAATCGTTTTCGCAATTAATTGATGTATACGACAGCTTAAGAACCATTCCATTAGCCATCCGATCTATCTTTGAGTGACTCTCATTGAGAAGCTGATTCCTGCATAACCCAGCAATAGATTAGAGAGAGAAGTAGTAGGCCAGGTTTTGTGACCTGACAAATAACCTTGTAGACAAATATATTGAAATCACCCGAAGCATAGATGCCAATCAGCTCGAAGCCCCACTCCATCAGGAACATGAGGATAAAACAAATAAGAAGAAGCCTATGGTTTTTGTAAGTAGCCACACCACCAACACAAAGGACAAGAAAATTTAAAATTTCGGTAAAGATGAAGAAATTTCTAGTAGCTTTGAAAAATTCTCTCTTCCATATCTCATCGGTATCATATTTTTCAATGTCCTCTCTATAACCAATGGTACAGAAATATGTCCAGATAACTTCATAGATCAGAGTAATGATGAGATGGAAAAGAAGAAGGTAACGAAGTTGCTTAAGCCTTCGGCTGCTCACAGAGGGTGATTTAAGTTTATCATACAAAGAACCCATTACGTGTTTTAATGTCACAGTTCAATCACAAAATCAAAAAAATGGATAACTGGATATAACCAAGGAATACAGGATTGTTAACAAGAAGGCACAATAAACTGGGTAAAATATTATTTCCACAATACAACTGGTAATGATGAAATTGAATGTAGAAGTAAACTCTGAGAAGACGAGAAAATGTTGCTGTAAACAAAAGAAGTTGTGTTTCCTTTATGACAATTTATATCTTTGCTTGGTCAAATACAGGATGGTCAGCTATCTATTGATAAAAGATTAAAATAAAGTACACAATTAAATAGATGATATTGGAAATGTGATAAATAACATTGAAAAAAGTAAAGAAAAAAACACATTGACTACTCGCTGCGACAACAAACTTAAAAATTGTGGTTTTCCAAACAACTTTCACTTTCCTTTCTCTCTTTTTTGGTTTCGCTCTCTTTTTGCTTCTTTTTTCTCTCTCATCTTTTGCATCTGCTTGTGTAAAAACATCCAAGGGAAACTAGTTTGGATACAAAAAAAAACTGCTTAAAAGCTAGAAGAGAAATATCTGTGATGCTGAACACTGGGGAATTTTACTCACAATTGAATTACCAGATTGTAGCCAAAATTGTACCAGTATAACCGACTAACTTATTATCTTTCTTTCCTCATCTTCATTCTGATATTTTCAATTTTCCCTACACCACTCAAACATGTTCAGTTCATAACATTGACCTCTTCTTTCTTTTCCTCTCCTTGTCCAGCAACTTTTCAGGTCGACTTACCTTTCTTTATCAATTTAATCTTTAAATGATTTTCGTGTGAATGGTCATTATTACGATTCGACTACAATTACCTGACAATTCATTATGTTCTTTGTTACACTTTGACCATCTATCTCATTGTTTCTTTAGTTTTACTTACCTAACAATTGATCCGCTTAGGGCCTGTTAACAATCAAATTTATATCACTTCATGGTAATAAGTCAAGAAATTATGTGATTTCATTTTTTCGATTTTTGAGGACTACAGAAGCATTCGATTAACTGAGAAGAATAAAATAAACAGTAAAAAATTAAAAATACAGTAAACCCTCTCAAATTGTCACGTCGTGGGATTAGCATCTTGGCTATTTTCCTATAATAATTAGGCAAAATAGCCCTTTTACGAATTTGATTAAATTTTAAAATTTAATTATTAATTCAATTTAGGTGTTTTTGATTTCTAATTTGATAATTCCTGTATTGAACAGTATTAAATAGTAATTAAGAGTCCTCTCAAAATTTTCCTAATTAAAAAAACTGAATTAAAAGCAATTGTTTACTCGGTTACCATGACTCTGGGACAATTAGAGAGGGTGACAATTTGAGAGGGTTTACTGTATTTTATTATTTGAACGATGAGGTTAATGGCGCCCAAAGAGTAATATAACTCTTGTTCTACTCTTTGATGGCGCCTTTAGTCTAGCGAGTTGAACTTTGGTAAGCAACTTTGAACTCTTAAACACATGATCTATGTAATGTTAGTGATGAGCAATCAATTATTTGTTAACTTATGTGTTTGTTGAGCTATTTAAATTGAAAAATAAATTCTAAGTTTTTCTTCATGTTGTGATGTGTTTACCATGATAACAAATTGTTTATCTTGGCAATTTATAAACTTTACAGATATTACCAAGCCTTGAATTAGTCATACATCAATCTTCCAATGACAATTTTAAACATGGACCTTGATTCAGACAAAGCTCAATGAGGAAAGACTACGGAGAAACGACCAGAATTATTTGTGGACTAGACATCCATGTAATAACACAAATTAAGTGTTGCAAAATAGAGATTTCGTAAGTAAACATTGATTTTCGGAATTAAATTCATAGTTATATCACCAAACTATCCAATAGTGAATCAAAAGGACAGAACACATTGAATTTGAGTTACTTAACTTCTTGAATGGAGATTATTTTTCTGACGCTTAAAATAGGGTTTGCTGAGTTATAATTTTATGCCAACTGAAATTGAAATACTGTAGCATGGTTTTATGGCTTGACATAGGGGCAATATATGCACCTGTATGAAAATTAAGGTAGGCTGAATGAAGAAAGGAAAAGGGGAGACAAAAAGAGCCAAGACCAGTTTCGGGTCTGAATGTTTTCCTTTTCAGAATAAGCATTTGAGCTGTGCGTTTGTTCAACTCTGTTTTATTTTGTATTTGTTATTTAATGGCACCAAACATGTGTTGATAGTGTTTGTTGGCCTCTTGTGTACATCTTTATGATTCAACAAAAAGGTTAAACAACCTAACATCTAATATTAATTTACATTTTATTCCTCCGTGATTAGGTTTGCCCCAGCTGATCATACTTGACTCTCATCTTGGAAATGTTTTGGAAAAGTAAACACTAAAGCAATAATTTAAACGACTGTTGGAATCAATTAGTTAAATTGATCATATATTGTAATTAATTTCGGGACCTGATGTTTACTGAACTTGCCTGTCAATGGCAGAGATACGTAAATTATTGTATAAACTGTTCATAGGATTGATACACTTATAACATCCAAGTTGCTCTTCACAATTTATGTTTAAACGTTTCAATCTACAAGGTTGACCTGTTTATTTTATACTCCCGGTTAAATCAATTTAAGCAATGATTAGACCATGGTTACACTGGTTTACCTTGATTACTGGTTTAATTGTTGGTATGCTTTCCGCAATCTCCTGGAAAATTTACAAATCATCTGTTGTTGGAGGAAACTTTCAACATTTTCAAACCTGGCCAGAATCAAGTGATAAACTAAATTACCCGAGTAAACTGGACTATTGGACATTTGATTTCAATAACAGTATTCCTGATGAACAGACTCAAGCTCGTCTAAATTCTCTTTCTTTGACCTGTTTGATACATTTAAGAAAGTTCAACTATCTATCCACAATCAACTCAACATGGGCCTCCAGATGTAACGAATCTTTCTATTATTTAACACCAAAAGAGTTGTTCAATTCATCATTACCAGACAATGACAATATTGCTCTAATCAAAGGATCGACACCGTTATCGACAATCCTATCCTCGTGGCAACAATTTTGCTTAACTGTTTCATCTACCAAGTTTAATACAGATCAATACACTTCCTCTGATTGGTTTTTAATTGCCCCTGAAAATACCTTTTTCATCATAGAAAATCTTCGTCGCTTTCTGATCTCATTTAATTCATCTAACTCGGTCTACCTCGGTCGTCCAATCAACAATCATGCTGAAGTCATCTACAACTCTTTTGATTCTGGAATAGTATTGAGCCGTTCAGCTTTTCTTGCGTTAATGGAAGCTATAAAATCCTCTTCAAACTGCAGTGGTAGTTACATAAAATCAATCGGACAACTTGATAGACGGGTGGACGTTGCCATCTCTCAGATTCTTCACCATTCCAGTTGTAAACCAATCGATACTCGTGATAAATTTGGACGAGGCCGTTTCTTGGCACTTCCTATGTCACGACACATGATTCCCGGTAGCATTACGTTTGACCATCCATTTTGGCAGCAAAATATTTATCCTTTCCCTAACGGACCAGATTGCTGTAGTGATGGTTTAGTCGCCATTCCTGGCCTGACACCCAACTCCATGAGATTTTATGAGTATCTAATTTACACAATGAGAGTTGTTGGAATCAAGAATCTAATCACCAGTTGACTATTTATTCTCTCTTTCAAACTGACAACACAGTTAAAAATCTCGAATCATAAAAGCCACAATCAATTAATTACCAAACCAGTATGTTGACAGCTGTAGGATATCTATGGTGATTTATGTCCATTGACGTCTTATCACAAACATCATGTGTTATTTTGAGGATTTGATAAATTTGCAAATCAAATCGGATCTGATTGCCATCAAAAATATAATTTGCAATATTAATGTCGACTTTTCCATATTGATTGGAGCTTTAAGCGATTAACTGTCATTAACAGTTAAAAACACACAAAATCAGCAATCATGGCCAATAGCAGTCAATCAGCTGAAAGGAAAGGTTAGGGAATAATTTGTATAGTTGTTTATATGTTCAAAAATCAACAAATGACCATTATGAATGTGAAAAATAAAATAAGGGTTAACAGACCACATTTAAATAATGTATACATTTAATATAATTTTTTTTTGTAAAACTTAAGTTTTTGAACCATTGTCAAAGATTCAGGAAACAATTGTACAGATATTGTAATGAATTTGCTTCGTTTTGTTTAAATTGTTATACAATGTATAATAATTATAATAACATTTAGAAAAAAGAGGAATTTCAATAGTTTTGGCTGAAATGACCAGAACTATTACAAGGAATAGACTTGGGACTAGTCAATTTGATTTTTATTCATATCATTTCAATAATAATTATTTGTAAGTTTATTTTTTCATCTTCAAATTAGGCCTTTGGAACCAGGAAATGTGAGTGTTTTAAACGGTCTCTTATCGTGAAGAAGTGGTGAAGTTTTTTTCCATAACAATCAGTGAAAGGTTCAAGAAAAGTTCAAGACGAGGCAGGTTAAAGCATTTGGATTATTTTCTTGAAGGAGAGAGCACAAGATGATAATGAAAATGATAGGAAACATTTGGTGAATGAAAAATGGCAACATGAGATGAAATAAAAAGAGATGAATTTAAGCATTGAAAAGACAACAAATTGGTCAGTAAACTGTCATAAGAAAATTTAAGGTGAATTGTGCTAAGAACGTTAACATCAAATGTTGTTAATATCATGGACCCGCTAAAATGTGTTTTTGTTGGAAAAACCGAAAGTAACTCGAAAAGAGCTAATCTTGCTTATATTGATCAATAAAAGAGAAAATTGAAGAATCAAGTTAAACAACTGTAATCCTAATAATGATGGTAATAATAATAGCTATCATGTAATAATTGTTTTTTGAATCATTAAACTGGTGAACGAAGGTGAATGTATAACAGTCAATAGGTTTTTCTCCTTTTTTCTCGCATTTTCCCTATTTCTTGTGGTGAATTTGAATTGAATGGTTGACGCAGAATAAGAAAGATCAAATCAAAAACAATAACAATTAACGATATAATTTGTATAACAGTTTTTCAATCATTTATCCCGTTTGTTTTCCAGATGATCGACTATTCAAGAATATTCCTTATTAAAGTTGTTTTTCGTCTTAAGATTTTATTTCGTCTGGTAAGCACTATTAACTTAATACCTTGTCCTCAACCTCTCCAATGGATGAGCTTTTTGAGGAAGATGCTGAAGACGCTTGAATAAGGCGACTGGAAGCCGAAGAGATGTCGGATGAAATTGAATAAAGTCCTTCCTGTTTAACCTGGTTTGAATTGGAACGAATAATTGAGATATTATGATGACAATCACAGGAGCAAGCAATTGGAGACACTAAAGGTTGTTCATCACCGGGTTCACCTAATTCACGAGGTGATAAAGGAGTCATTTGACCTTCTGCCGGTGTATTGCAGCCTGAAGGATCATTAGAGTTTATATTGCCCAGTTTACCAATCAAACAATCACATTTATCACATTCCATGCTCCACTTGTACCTTTCAACTTGATGTTCAAGATTTTCTTTGATGAAAGCGTATGGATTAAAATTGTCCCCAAAAGGTGTCCATTGGTCTTCAAAGTCTAAAGGTGTGATTGGTGTTAATGGAGAAACAGCCTGTGAAGCTGTCTCGGTAACCGGTGTGAATGCATCATTTGTTTGATTTTTGATGCCAAGGCCTCCACTGGGTAAAGAATCACGAGGAGAAATGTCTTTATCTAAGGTGGATCGTCGACGACGGGTAAAACTTTTTGGGCTGTGTAACCCCTTCTCACAAAATTCAAGCCAAATTGCGGGATTACTCTTACGTGGACTTTTTGCTCGAGTACAATTAGTAAAAGTATCTCCTGGAAGTGATAAACGAATCTTTTCCACATTTGGATCAGGTGAAGGTGAGGCTGTATTAAGAAAGGCTTCTAAAGGTGCAATATTTATTGGAGTTGCACTCCTTGGTCGATCAATGGGAATTGTGTTTACATCTAACCTCCGTCGAGATGAGGCTCGATTTTCATGGTTTATTTTATCCTCAGTATCGGGACTGAGTATTATTTCCGTTGGACCATCGTAATCTTCATAATCAATTGAATCATGAGTGAGCAGTGTGGCAGCTTCAAAGTCAATTTCACTTGTCTCGGAAGATTGACGTTTGAGATAACTTGCTTTTTTACCCGATTCTGTATCAAGAGAAAAAGAGAAAAATAAATGAGAAGATAAGCGAAAAATTGATAAATTGTTGAAAGATGATGTAAGGATATATTGAAAGAGGAAGTTACATATTGCAATCTGGAAACTATTAAATAATATGAATCAAATGAGATGTCAATTTGATGATTAAAACAAAACGTTTTTACTACATCTCTATCACAACTATTGATTTTCAAGCTGATAACTGACAGAGTCGTTCTCAAAACACTAGAAAATATGAATAATTTTCCTCTTTCAATTGGTGATTAAGAGATGGTTGAAATGAAACGCACCAGCATTTAATGTAGCGCTACTTTCTTCAAGATCAGATCCAGAAGAGTAACCTTTTTCTGAAGAATTATGTTCAATTGTTGCAACTACAGTCTCAGTGGTTCTATTTAATGAAGAGTCAAGGTCTTTTGTCTTGAAACTTCTCGGTAAACTCTGGCATTCATCGTCAATTGTATCGGTCCGGGTTATCAATTTTCTAGTTAAATTAGGTTGTGGTAGTGGATTGTTATTGTTCGTTGGATCATCTAACGCTATATTTGAGGAAGACTCAAGTTCAGATTGTTGATTTGTGGATAAGATATTTGCTTTAGATGATATAAGCAACTCGTCAAACTGTAAATCAGGTGGTAAATCTAATTGTATATCTTCATTAAAAGCAGACATTTTTTGTTCTATCTCTCGTTCAATTATATTGATTATATCCTGTTGAGATTCTTTGGGCTCATTGAGATCCTGTATTACTGTTAATTCATCACGTAATTTTCCAAGTTCTGCATTTTCTCCACTAACCATGGCTTGAGAAGGCGCATAATCACATTTTTCACTTTTAGATGATTTTGTGGTACTCATGTTTGTCCAGTTTTCTTTACTTTTATTATTACTTTCATTTAAGCTTGTATAGTTGGAAGCATAATTGTTGGCATTTTTACCATTTCTTTCATTAAAAGAGATAGATTCATTTTCTTGACTAGGTGTAGAAACTGAAGCTGAATTATTGGCTTGATTGGCTGTTGATGATGAAGATGACTGTGCCTGGGATGGTCCATTAACCGTACCAGAAGAGGTTGAACTTTTTCGTCCAACCTTTAAAAAAGAGAAGAATCCTTTCTTATTTTTGGCCTTTTCCACCGGTACAGTTTCCTGTTCAAAACCAGGACTTTTTTGAGAACACTCGGATCCAATGGGAGATTTAGAGCGAGAGCGACTCCTTCCTCGGAAGAAAATATCTGTCCAAGAACCTTTTCGCCGTGAATCAGGACTAGGTGACTTTTCTCCTCCCGATTCATCACTTGGCACCGTCAGATTATCTCTGCATCTACTAGACGATAGTTCATAACCATAAGGTACAAGAGGACTACTATAACCAGTTGGTGTAACTTCACCACTAGCTGAAGATTGCTCTTCACCACTAGTATGATGAATAGAAAGATCATTGACAGTTTTTGATGACCAGCCTGGGCCAGAGGTAGGAGACAGCAAAGCATTATCACTATTAATTGCAATCGTCGATTGCATGACTGACACTCCATTTGTACTAATTTGAAATCCTTCATTGTTTCCATTGACTCCTCTTGGTCCAACAAGTTTATGAGGTGAAGGCTGAGTCAACACATCTCTACTGTCGAAGCTTAAAATATGGTCAAACTCTTCTGGGCCTGGTGATAAATCTTGCAATGTATTGTCATCATCACCGTCAGCTTCCGGACTTATCTGCTCATCGGAAGGCAAGTCTTCAAAAGAAGCTAATGGAGCTGGTCCTTGACGACGTTGACCTGATGGGTAGCTATAACCTAGCTTGGGTTTACCAGATGGTGTGAGATCCATTTATAATTATGGAGATATTAACAAGAAATTAATCCGAAGTTGGAATTGATAAATTTGTTTACTTTAATCAAACAGTGAGAGTTAACGAGATAACCAAGTGAAACAGTAATTGTCCAAATAATAAGTTGTGTGTCGAGAACAAAGCTGACGGTATTCACATTGGATTAATCAATGAAATCATTGAACCAAAATGGCTTTTATTTCCAGTTAAATCTGTAAGAATAGAAGAAAAAATAGTTAATATTTAGATTGATATCCAAAATAAATAATACATGATAATGGAAACTATTTGCCATGAAAGCGAAATTTTGACGTGAAAAAAATGCGAATTAAAATGGGAAATGAAATGACAATTGGTAAGAAAAGGTAAATGTACCAGATTCACGTTACATGATTTGTCATGACATTAGATTGATCGATTTTGCTGATTGAAACAATCACAAGAAAAATCAGAATGAAAATGTGAATGAATGAAGAAAGCAACTGAAGCTGAAGCTGGCAAAAAATCTGATGAAAAAAAAGGTTGCTAAGGGGAATTGGATTATATTTTACTTTTCATAATTTCTGACAACTTTAAAATGAATGATGTATCTTGAATGAGCACACACAAATCAACTAATTAACCTAAAAAGAAAGAGAAAAGAGTAAATCACATGAAATATACAGACAAATTGGCGATAAATTTGAAAAGTTAAGAATTGAAAAGGAAGCGAAATCGTCATAAGTGAAATCTTTCATTTTACTATGCTTGTTACCGATCATGTTGCTTGCTAATTGTGTATGCTTAATTTGGTTATACACTTGGAGGCGTTTAGACTTGTATACCTTGAATTAAATAATAACTTATCAAATATAAACTCCTACCACAATGAGAAAAGGATGAAATAAGATGATGATAAATGGTGAGGTAAATTGTTGAGATTTAGAGTGCAGTTGATTGCATATTAAACTGTATGAGATGGAAGGATGAATGGAACAAGAATTTTCATTCTTTATTCCTCAATCAGCATGGTTATCAATCGTCTTGTCTTTAGAGAGTAAATAATTGAAAATTGTTAATTATATCAAGAAGAAAAAAGGAATTGCGTTGAAAACAAACAACAAGCCTTTTTATATTGCTATATTACATCTGATTGAGGTATTAATCTGATGTGACAACAATAAATTCAACAATGGATTAATTACTGAGAATAAAATTGGAAAGTTTATTGAATCAATGATGGCAAGCATGGCAATAGGAACAGAAATTAACTCTAACAGAAATTATATCTATTAATATTAGTGAAAAGATTACTTTTTTGACATCTGTTTTATTCACATTTCAGCAAAACATCATTATCATGATGGAAAATGTATCATCAGAAAATATACAATTCTGTATCGATCGATGTTACAAGTAAAAAGGAGTTGGTTGTTTGATTATTGTAACCATTTAACTTTAAATATCAAAATCAGAATCAAATTTTTCGCCAACAAACATAAGATGATCAAGTAAATGGGTAATGAAAAGGGCAAAGAAACTTGTAATTTAAAGTAAATTTTGGTGTTGAAAGGTGATTGAATCGACTGCTAAGAGTCACCGATACTTCAAGATGGTGATTACATGTTTGAGAATTTCATGAAAAATTTTCAATATAATTTAGTTTTACCCTTAAACTTAATGAAATCAACGATTAACTATCCTTTTTTACAACTCTGAGCATGATAACCACTAGACTATTGGAACTGTTATTTTGTATCAGAATGTTGATTGTTGTATAAATATTTATCAATGAACAATTTATCTAGCTTAGTGAAAATCAATTCAATAAAATGTTCTCATCATTTTCATAGTTACATGAGATGTAAATAAGATTAACCCGTATTTTCCTCTCAATATACCTTTGTTTTGTTGCCGACTCAAATCCTCTTAAATATGGCTTAATTTGCTAATCTTTTTTGTTGGGTTTCGCTGATGCTGGTTAGTTTATGTTAGATTTGTATACATATTTTGTATTGAACTTTTACATAATATTTAATTGGTCAGGGTAATTAACTAACCAGGATAGTGAAGAAACAATAACTCGTTATACTGGAATCTTGGGATTTCATGTCAAGTGCTGGAAATTAACCTAACACGAATTGACTAACATTCAAATCTATGGTTTTCGTTGATTTTGTTTTTAACTCGATATTTCCTTTAGGCCTTAGCCATGGCATGCAGCCTGAGTGTTGTAAAGAAGCTTGTTCAGCTTGGCTTGCTATTTCCTCAAGCCTTACAAACGGAGCTCATTTCATGAAGAGTGCAAGTCTTTTCATTTTCAAAATCAAGCAACTATGACAATGACAATGAAACTGCATTTTCACAAAAAGTGTTCATAAGTTGTGATTGAGATATCAAGACCGCTTCAAGATTATTGATAATCTGTAAAGTTGATTAATCGGCACCATAATCCTTATCGAGCAATGATAAAATATAGCTTTAAACAGCTTTTACACAGTAAATATGGCCTCATCACCTTTTGAATTACAAGATCAAAATCATTTCGAGAAATGGCAATACGTCACCAATCATTTGTTGGTTTAAATTTTTATCGATGAATCTTTCGTGTGTAACATTTTAAGTAAAATAATCTATCTAAACGAATGTATCACTGAATAACTCAATTTTAAATATTCAATTGTTTACAGTTGATTTTATGATGATTAAGGATTTTACAAAACAAGATTAATTAATTTTCCTGGCTAAATGTAAACAAGATAAACTACGCCTACTCAGAGGGACCATCTCAAAATTTAGTTTAAATTACTGGTCTGTGTATTTACAGCTTAACCGACTGTGTAATATCAATTATGATATTGAATTGTATCAAGATGGAAATTTTAATGGTGAAACAATTTCCAGATTAATACTACAATGTTAAATATATGAAAAAAAACTCAGACTCAAAACTCTTAATTTAATTGAATGGAAATAAATGAATTCAACTCGAGAATCGTTGTTAGATTACAAAGTTAGATTCAACTCTTTCTAATTCTCTCCATTACTTCAATTGTTTAGGACAAGAAGTGATATTCAAGATGCTCAGATGCATTTGAGTGATTATTAAAAGTAATAGAGATGTTTACGACTAAACATCGGTATTTAAAATGATTAATTCAATTATTTCTCATGGTTACTTTCAATCTATTTTTTCTTCTTTTTTCTCAGTGACCTACTAAAAATCATCATCATAATCATCAACAACATCATAAGTGATGAAGCTTGTTATTCAGTATGATCAAAACATTGATGGATCGATAAAAAAGGTACAAGCAATGGAAATCATGGCTGTTTCTGTTGTACTAATATTTTGGTTTCTAATCATGTAAATGAGAAACAATAATGGTGCTTACCTACACAGACTGAGGCCTAAATGATGTATATAAATGGAGTATGAATGAGTTGAACATTTTTATCATCATTGGACAAAGAAGAGATCCCAGTAACAATGAGAGGGAAATCGGTGGAAGTGTACTTGTTGTGTATCTTGAGGTAGAGAAGTGGTAGTCAGTAGTCAAGGGCAAGGTAGTACTTGATGCTTGAAGTTTAATGATCAATTGACTTGGTGCGAGTTTTAATGGTGGATTTGGCAATTAAATCTGTGGTAAATTGAAAATATGTAACCGTGAAAGGGAGAAAAATAAAAAGAATGATGTTTGATTAAGAGATACTTGGTTTAAATTACAATGGCAACTGAATTTTGTAAACACGTCACTTACCTTTCTTTAGGTTACTTGGACAGTATTGATTTAAACAATACAATTACGAGGAGAAACACAGTTTGATTTCCGATGAAATATTAGTACAAAGTGAGTGAGTGAGAGTGAGAGACAAATATAAGGAAAGTAAACGAGTGTTGGTGATAATGATGATGCTGAGAGTGGAGATGTTGATTGTGATTGCTATGAAAGATTCAAACCGCCTTCAAATGTGAATGATAATAGCGTTAATGATATTTCAGTTTCAGATCATCTTTACAAAAAACAGCTTGGTGAGGTTTGAGTATTTGAGTGGTTGGTGATGATTGCAGATAGACTGTCAGAAGAAAGTAAATACTGACGAGGAAAATAGATTATAATTTATGGTGTTGCCTTTCTGTTGGTGATGACTAAATGATAACTGTTACTCTTGGTGTTGGTGTTAACAGTGAAACTCCTTAAGCGTTTGCTAGCTTTTTGATCCGATCTGACATCCGAAAGAGGACCAAATACACCGATAGACGAGTAAACAACAATTTTAGGTTGTCTATAATGGAAACACCTTCTGGATCACAATCTGTTTACAATAAAAGAAAGATAAGAGAAAAAGAAAATTGAGATAAGTCATTGGATCGTCAATAAATAGACATTAAACCGATTAAACAATCATAAATAAATTGGTTATGTAACAATTAATGATAAGTCAATAATTGGCACAGAAATTAGATTTGGCATTGAGAAAGGTAGGGTGAAGAAGCATTGTAATCATTCTTGGGTTAGGAAAAAAACAACGGTTCTAGCGGGATCGTTTTAATGGAGAAAACCATTGAATTGAAGCTATTTCTTAAACTAATACCATGGCAATTGGATGTAGATTGAAGCAAATTCAGAGAGAAAATAGTAAATTAATAAATACTTACGGTTGAAGAAATGTTAAGGTTTGGCAAATTCACAAGATTATGGGTAACAGAATGAAGCCCGAATCAAGTTAACAATCCTTATAAACATTAATGAAACAAGATGATGTTTATATTTTCAACTGACGATTAGCTGACGAAAGTGATTGAAATGAATATGTTGAACAATCATTTGGTAGACAACAGTATACAAGAGACAATGTGGTTTTGTCAAAGTGACAAAGTAAATTGTAAAAGAGAGGCAAAAAAGATAAAAAGACAGAGTGAAGGAGAAAATGTAGAATTGCAGAGATCGTTTGGTTTGTTTTTGAGCTGTTTACCAACGGTTAGTCAACAACAACATGCTTCAACAAGCACTAACAGAAAGCACGGAGATCAGGAAGAATAAAGCCAAACCAGTGGATAGGAAATTTGCACAAACCAATGTGGATAACTGTATGAAGCTTTAGCTGTTGGTAATTTTGGTGGTCACCAGATAATCAAAAGTAAAGATGATGTTGTTGTTGTTGAGAGTGATGATGATAATTATGATGATGTAAAGAAGAAGGCGGATGAGAATAACAAGTGAATGATGATAAAGATGAAAGAAGATGAGGATAAAGGTAACACAGAAACATATTCATAGACAGAAAGAAACAAGCGAAGGATAAACCATCTTATGGGAGCTTCTGGTAAAGAAGAGATGATCTCATAGAAGATGATGATGTTAGAAGAGAGAGACAATAAAGACAGAGAAGATGATAGGGATTATCTTTGTAAAAGTAAGAGGCAGAAAGAGAGACGGAATAGAAGTGGTGATAGGAAGTAGAAGATGAAGAAAAAAATAAATAAATAAAAAGATAGGAAAGGTGAGCCCAGAATAAAAGGGAGTGAAAGTGTAATGTATATAAAAAATAGGTAATATGAATCTGGAAAACCTTTTATTCTGTTGTTGATAAAGTTCCTCTGAATTTGTCCTGGTTCTGGGAGAAAAAAAAAGAAAGTAAAGGCCTTTTATCGATTTAACCTTAGATACAAAATTTGTTCCTTTCTTTCTTTACTTTCTTTTCTTCTTCTCTTTACCTTCTGATTCAATCGTTTGAAAGTCTCCAATAGGAGGAGAAGACATGAAGAGAGAAAGAGAGAAAAGAGTTGAACCCAAATTTTTTTCTTAACCATTTTTGGTTACATTTTCCCTACTTAACCAGCAAACCAATTTCAATTTATTGTTCATTAGTTTATACAATTTATGTACCTTTCCTTTTACCTTGAAAAACATGTAATTTCAATAATTTGTTCAATTAATCAATTAACATAATTTCAATTCAATAATAACATAGTTTGAATCAAAGAATATTTCCTTTCATTGTTTCAGCGTCACAAAATAATCTTTGTTACCAATTTTAATTTTATAATTCATTTTTAAAATTGACTTTTTTCTTGTAAAAGCAAAAAAGGAGGATTGATTGTTTACAATAGATGAGCTTGTGAAGGAAGATAGATTGATTTATTTTCCTTTATTTTCAGAAATTTACAAAATCGCGCAAAATTTTTCCTCAATACAAATTATCATCATTGACTTCAGTTTGGGTTGAGTTGTTGATTATTGTTGCCGAAGAAGAGTTTTCAAAATAATCGAGGATACTTCGATTAGATTGTTGGATGTATCTCTGTTGTCGTAGATAAATTTTGAGAAGTCCCTTGGCGACTACGAAGGTTAAGCCACCCTGAAATAAAGAGAAAATTTTAGTTTCAAATTAGAACGATATTACACACAAAACTTAATAATGAGGATAAAATCACAGAAAAGCATTTTCAAAATACAATTCATAATAGATTGTACCGTTAAAGGATTGGTTTCACCAGAATAAGCTGGGGATGTTACAAAAGTCTCTAACCATAGAGAAGAGCATTGACTGATTTCCAATTAATTTTGAAGAAGATGAATGAGTGTCAATACCATCAATTCAAATTGATAAAACCACCTTTTCACTTTCTAGAGCCTCTTACCCTTAGTCAGAAAAGATTATCTGAAGATTTTTACAATGAAAGGTTAATTTTCAAAACAAAAGCATGAATTGATTTAGTCTCTTCAGCTCAAACCGATTTCTGTGATTGTATACCTCAATTCATAACTGGAAATGACACTTACGAGCATTGTGCGCTGTAAATTTGATGCAATTCCGGGGAATAAATATTTACCAATGAAAGAGGAAACAGTAGGAAGGAGTAAAGCTCCACTAACTTGTCGGTACCAATATAAAGGGTGAGAGAAAAGATCACGATGGTTAAGCATACGTTCAGCTCTTACAACTGTTCCAGGAGGTGGTGAGCCCAAAATACGACTAAGAAAAGGAATGTGGCGATGATGTCTACGCCAAATCTTAAGAACTTGATCTTGCCAGCTAATGAAACGACCTAACACCAAAAATAAAGGTATGCTTGGCAAAAAAGCTAATAACGTGAAAGGGTCTGCTTGTTCTAATGTTGTTTTTCCTTCTTGGAGTCCCATGACCTGCAGAACGGTAATAGCCCCGTATGATAAGGCAACCCAGTATACGGAACCAAGTAACATGGTACCAAAAGCATATGGAGCTGCATGTAGCAAAAATCCATCATAACGTTCCAAAATTAAAACAAACCCACCTGAAATAGACAAAAACAGTTACGAATTAATTCGAGTGTCAAGAGAAAACATATTGAAAAATTACATCATGTTTATTTTATGGAAATAGAACGCTGACTGAGAAATCTGATGCAAGAGTTCAAATAGGTGAAATAGTAACGCAACTATATCTAGTTATTGAGTTATTGGTGAGAATAGTCATCTCTAGTAAAATAGCAATAACTATGAAATCAACTTTTAGAAATTAAATTGTGGGCAATTAATTAACAATCCAGGTAGAAATTATGTCTTGAAAAAGTTTAGATTGAAGGATAATTGCCTAAAGCTTTCTCTCTGTGTATAATTTCCTCTCATCTTCTTATTAATGAAACCTTCAATGGACATTCAAGTTGATAGATTGTTCAATGCTAATGAGCAAGGCTACTTTTTAAATAACAAAACAATACAATCTTGAACATTGTGATAAATAATTATTTGTGATCACCATCTAATGGTAACGCGATGTTGATAGATTGAGAAATTGTACTCACTGAAAGGAGGAAAAATTAAGATATACTCAGTTTGGCACTGAGGACAAACTACTTTAGCATTTGAATTGAATTTCTTTTTTTCGTCAATCCACATTTGAATACAAGACTGGTGTACATATTTTGAGGAACCTCTACACCGGCATGGTCGGACCCAATCATTATCAGCACCTTTTTCATCCTCAGTCTGGAGACATACCCAACATTGTTTACTGAAAGAAAAACAGAAAAATAATTTTAATGCGTATTTGAGTAAACATATGGATTAACATCCAACTACTTGTGATGCGGACAGTTATGAAACAATGGAACTTACATTTCTCTCTCTGAAAGAGCTTGAAGGGTTGTAGATGAGGTTGGCGTGGATACTTCTGAGCTCAACTCAATCCGAGTTTCAGAGGTTGCAGAATTGTCCTCAGGGAGATTTATAGATGCTTCGGTCGACATCGGTCAAACTGTTGATGCAAAAATCACCTGAAAATGAAGAAAATAATCACATTAATGATAAGAATACAGGTAGCTTTTAAAAGGAAAATCAGTTGTTACAGCATTTTCATCTATCGGTTCATGAAAGAAAATACCAATGAAAAGCTACTGGAAAAATATAGAAAAATTAAAAAAAAAATAATAATTCACATACCTATTCCCTAAAGAAGGGAGATGAGATAAAAAGATGTGTATACAAAATGATTTGAAAACAAATGAAATGAAATTAATAATGAAATTGGATATGAATTGTAAAACCAGTCATTCCAACCTTGATTATTACTTGAGTAACAGATCCCACTTTCCCTTGGACAAAAGCAAGCCTTGTATGTGTGTTCTTTCACTCTTCTCTCTCTTTCTTTAAATCGCAATATTCAGTCACAGAACCACTTCTACGGAAAAATTATCCATCTCTACCAATAATAACACTTCGGTGAGTAGACAATTACTAATTAATTAAAATAATGACTGTTAATTGACTAAAAAACTGTTAAAACAATCTGGTTGCTTTTTGTTAAATTTTGCTCTTACTATAAACGGTTTTGGAATCATATGTTTACAGTCTGTTTCCAAGTGAATGACAAACAAAATGAGCCTATAATCTCACTTACCGGTGCTGAACGGTTATTTATTGAAGTGCTGAACGGCTTCAAAGGGATTATTGGTGTTTGACCATAGGCTTTATGATGGTAAGGACGGATTCAGATGTTTATAGTTGACAATTCCTTCGAGATGTATTCCATACCAGCCATGCAGCTGTACTACCGACTATTGGTGATGTATAAAAAACTGATGATGACAGCAGCCAAAAACGTATTGAAATGAAAAAATTACAATCGACAGATTATGATTCGCGTCTAACTGGGGATTTTGAATTGATTTAACCGCCTTAAAGATTGACTACTCATTTATGGAGGAAAAATTTCTGAATAATCGTTGAAGGAAAAAGTTGAGAGGATCTTAAGCTTACCCGAGAAGCCTTGAAATTATGATTGTCATTTAAAATTTACTATCTTACTAAAATTTCAATGTTTTAACAATTTTTAATCAATTGGCGTTTTAATATATTAATGATCGAAAGATTAGATTAATTAGATTTTATGAGTACTTTTTCCACTAGCATCAACTAATTCTTAAATATTCTTTCTCTTCAGTTCTTTAGATAAATCATCTGTGGGAGATAATTGTGTCCACCGAGATGAAAGATATTCAATTTTTCAACCAACTCAGTGATAGAGGCTGCCAATGGCAAGAATGCACACTTTTGATGGTTCGTATTGGCTCATCATTTTTCAGATTCATCTGCGATATGACAAACTAACGCTATATTTTTATCTTTCCGCCTGCTGTATCAGTTGGTAATGTTGGACAATTAGCTGTTGACCTATATGTTACAACATTGATTTGGGAAAGAAAAGTGAAATTAGTTGGGCGCATATTTTCAACAGCACATAAAAGCGTTTCTGGTCCTAATGCTTATCAATTTGATGACGATAGTCCTATCATGACTACTTGTGAAGGTATGAGCTATCATAAATTCCAGCCTTGCAAATTTTCTGAATATAATTAATGGTTATTATCCGTTTTTTCAACAGTTTAAGAGTCTGTAGATCACGAATTGGTCATCCTCCAATTAAGAGCCCCGCCATATAAAGTAAGAGTTGGAAGTTTTGGAGATTACATTTTTCATTTTTTAATTTTATTTTTTCTCTTTTTTTCACGATAGGAACGAAGTAAACAATTCGTCGAAGAGTTGTCTAAATGGATTGGGGAAAAAAATTTAAATAGGCCATTTGTTCATCATCAAGCTTCCCTCAGTATCTTTCACCTCAAATTTTTGACAAAGAATCTAAGCCTATTCGATATATTTCTACTAATACACTTAAAGAAAATAGTCCTACTATTTTATCTGACCAGTTGAAGGTTACAGAATTAAAAGAATCTGAAAATGATGAAGAGCTGAGCATTTCTGCTATAGTCGGCGGTGGCCTTACTAAAACATTATATCAATATTGGTAATTACTGAATTTAACTGATTTTGAGCTCCACCGACTCTGAACTAAACTCAATTTATTTTAATTCACAGGCAAAAAGAGAATATACCAGGACTTTTATTGGTAATTTTTTGCTCTGAAGGTGATAATATTCCTGAAGCTATGGAGATATTAGAAACCGCGAATAAGATTATCAAAGTTAAAGAGGTAAATTGAAATTATTCATTCTAAAGTTCCGGGTTAATTAATTGATTATGTTTTTATGTTACAGCCTATTACCAGCGCAAAGCCTCAAAATCGTTGGAAAACACCAATTTCTTGGATGCAAATATTTGGCGGAGCCATTCCTAATAACCTTTTTTAAGAAACATCATAGCAGCTTCCTAACCATAACATCAAAAAATGTTTAATGCGCAAGGGAAATATTTTTTCCGCACACACGAACTTTCTTAACACCCCGTACGTGAAAAGACTGTACGTCACCAATCATTTGTTGGTTTAAATTTTTATCGTAGAATCTTTCGTGTGTAACATTTTAAATAAAATAATCTATCTAAATGAATGTATCACTGAATAACTCAATTTTAAATATTCAATTGTTTACAGTTGATTTTATGATGATTAAGGATTTTACAAAACAAGATTAATTAATTTTCCTGGCTAAATGTAAACAAGATAAACTACGCCTACTCAGAGGGACCATCTCAAAATTTAGTTTAAATTACTGGTCTGTGTATTTACAGCTTAACCGACTGTGTAATATCAATTATGATATTGAATTGTATCAAGATGGAAATTTTAATGGTGAAACAATTTCCAGATTAATACTACAATGTTAAATATATGAAAAAAAACTCAGACTCAAAACTCTTAATTTAATTGAATGGAAATAAATGAATTCAACTCGAGAATCGTTGTTAGATTACAAAGTTAGATTCAACTCTTTCTAATTCTCTCCATTACTTCAATTGTTTAGGACAAGAAATGATATTCAAGATGCTCAGATGCATTTGAGTGATTATTAAAAGTAATAGAGATGTTTACGACTAAACATCGGTATTTAAAATGATTAATTCAATTATTTCTCATGGTTACTTTCAATCTATTTTTTTTTCTTTTTTCTCAGTGACCACTAAAAATCATCATCATAATCATCAACAACATCGTAAGTGATGAAGCTTGTTATTCAGTATGATCAAAACATTGATGGATCGATAAAAAAGGTACAAGCAATGGAAATCATGGCTGTTTCTGTTGTACTAATATTTTGGTTTCTAATCATGTAAATGAGAAACAATAATGGTGCTTACCTACACAGACTGAGGCCTAAATGATGTATATAAATGGAGTATGAATGAGTTGAACATTTTTATCATCATTGGACAAAGAAGAGATCCCAGTAACAATGAGAGGGAAATCGGTGGAAGTGTACTTGTTGTGTATCTTGAGGTAGAGAAGTGGTAGTCAGTAGTCAAGGGCAAGGTAGTACTTGATGCTTGAAGTTTAATGATCAATTGACTTGGTGCGAGTTTTAATGGTGGATTTGGCAATTAAATCTGTGGTAAATTGAAAATGTGTAACCGTGAAATGGAGAAAAATAGAAAGAATGATGTTTGATTAAGAGATACTTGGTTTAAATTACAATGGTAACAGAATTTTGTAAACACGTCATTTACCTTTCTTTAGGTTACTTGGACAGTATTGATTTAAACAATACAATTACGAGGAGAAACACAGTTTGATTTCCGATGAAATATTAGTACAAAGTGAGTGAGTGAGAGTGAGAGACAAATATAAGGAAAGTAAACGAGTGTTGGTGATAATGATGATGCTGAGAGTGGAGATGTTGATTGTGATTGCTGTGAAAGATTCAAACCGCCTTTAAATGTGAATGATAATAGCGTTAATGATATTTCAGTTTCAGATCATCTTTACAAAAAACAGCTTGGTGAGGTTTGAGTATTTGAGTGGTTGGTGATGATTGCAGATAGACTGTCAGAAGAAAGTAAAGACTGACGAGGAAAAGAGATTATAATTTATGGTGTTGCCTTTCTGTTGGTGATGACTAAATGATAACTGTTACTCTTAATGTTGGTGTTAACAGTGAAACTCCTTAAGCGTTTGCTAGCTTTTTGATCCGATCTGACATCCGAAAGAGGACCAAATACACCGATAGACGAGTAAACAACAATTTTAGGTTGTCTATAATGGAAACACCTTCTGGATCACAATCTGTTTACAATAAAAGAAAGATAAGAGAAAAAGAAAATTGAGATAAGTCATTGGATCGTCAATAAATAGACATTAAACCGATTAAACAATCATAAATAAATTGGTTATGTAACAATTAATGATAAGTCAATAATTGGCACAGAAATTAGATTTGGCATTGAGAAAGGTAGGGTGAAGAAGCATTGTAATCATTCTTGGGTTAGGAAAAAAACAACGGTTCTAGCGGGATCGTTTTAATGGTGAAAACCAATGAATTGAAGCTATTTCTAAAAATAATACTATGGCAATTGGATGTAGATTGAAGCAAATTCAGAGAGAAAATAGTAAATTAATAAATACTTACGGTTGAAGAAATGTTAAGGTTTGGCAAATTCACAAGATTATGGGTAACAGAATGAAGCCCGAATCAAGTTAACAATCCTTATAAACATTAATGAAACAAGATGATGTTTATATTTTTCAACTGACGATTAGCTGACGAAAGTGATTGAAATGAATATGTTGAACAATCATTTGGTAGACAACAGTATACAAGAGACAATGTGGTTTTGTCAAAGTGACAAAGTAAATTGTAAAAGAGAGGCAAAAAAGATAAAAAGACAGAGTGAAGGAGAAAATGTAGAATTGCAGAGATCGTTTGGTTTGATATTGAGCTGTTTACCAACGGTTATTCAACAACAGCAGCTGCCTATCCGTTTCCGTCTAGGTAGCTATGGAGACACTTAAGCTCCCCCTGGTAAGGCTTCGCCGCCAGTTTTGAATGTATTTGTGTTACATTTTTTTCATGAATTACCGATTTATTAAAACAAAATTTCCAGTTTCTTGGTAAATTGGGTTCAAAATGGTCTGGTTAACTGCCGGTCTTCACTAGACCTTACCAGAAAATTTTAATAACTTAAGCTTTACTAACCATTGCACTTTTTTATCGGATTTTTGGGTAATTTCGATAAGTGTCTGGCTTCTGACTTTAAATGAAATTCAAGGATTACAAAGGTTTGAAAATTGTAACTAAAATCACTTGACTCTCCACTCAAACACCCATTGTAGACTCATAATTGATTAAAGGATATGAAGTACAGCTGATTATCACGAGCTCATATTTTTACATGTGCACCGTATCATGTGAACATCCTGATTTCCTAAAAAAGATATCAACACATTAACTTGAACTTATACCGAAATAGTCATAAATATTGTGTTAACTCGTAATGAACTGAAACACAAATGTGACAAATACCCGAATTTGGTAAATCTAGCTTCTATAAACTGTTAGTCATTGAAAATGTGGTTTCTATGACTGTAAATCTGATTAATTTACCATTAGTTTGAGTTAATTGCCAAGAAATAATCTCTTTGTTTACTTCGCATTTATTCTGGTTATTGCACTTTTCTTCTGATAAATGACTTTGTGATTATATTTAAGCCAGTTTACGTTAAACTATGAAACAAGATGGAATCAATTGATCAAGCCTTTTCAACTAAACAAATACAGAGAATGTAACATTTCAAATGTTTATGCATTGCAATTGAAAATTAACATTGGATTTAAATGTCAACTGTAAAGAGGTCAAATAGTGTTACAACTGACGATTGATTTATTTTTACTTGCAAGATATCCAATTCAGATTAAGCAAGTTATCTGTGAGAAGATGATGAATGTTGTAAAAATAACATCAATTTTCATCATTTGTTCATAGTGCAATTACCTTTCTAAATTACATTTAATCATGTAATCTTAAAGCCTACCAGATAAGTCTTTAATAGTATTCTGATCAACTGAAATTTATTTCACACTGAAAAGGTTAGTTGAAGTGTTTTTGGGGAAAAAGCTGTTGCCTTGATGCGCAAAGATTCATTTGATTTAAAGTGATCCTGATTGTTGAATTGTTTGCTGTATCTTGATGAAAGGAAAAAGAAAACTGTAGTTTGTTTATTTTTTTGATTTGATTGTATAATCAAAAATCTTGATCGTGCAACTAAAATGTTGAATAAAATTATGAAATTCAAAAAAAGCGCTTTCTATTGAGGGAGCCACAGTAAACTGAAACACAGTTACAGAAAACTGATGAAAGCTTTGGTATTATTCAATTCACTATGATACAATAGTTGCATCGAGCTTTAAACACTTAATCGTCCATACTTTTCTTCAGTTTAACTAGTTATTCTAATTCCCATGTTTAATATTTTTCCTGTAAATATCTGTTTGATTGTCCAGAATGTATCGAGCAATTCAACCAAGCTTCAACTGTGACACGATTGATTAATGTTTGAAAATTAGCTTTCTTGTTTTTAATTCATCCAAATACTTTATTGATCTACTTTTATTGGCTCCCATTTTTTTAAATTTGATAAATTTTTGTTATACAATGGTTAAGGTAAGTTCACTTTATTTTAATCTCAGTTTCTACCAATTGTGTCAGAATCTGCTCCTTCAACTACCTATCATCTTAACATTATTATTAACAGGTAAAATATAATATTAAGTTGTTTCTTATTTATTCATTGTCTGTTGCCAATCAAAACTGTTCACTTAATTCTTTCTGGTTTTAAGTAGCTTGACAAGATATTTTTTGATTTTTCCGTTGAATAAATTATTTTGAATAGAAAAGAGTTTATGAATTCTAGTTTTTTTCAAGATGACAAAATGATAGAACCAAGAGTTGGTCTATTTTGTCAAAAAAGTATTTTGATTTCTAGTAAATTAAGCTTGTAAAAGCTTTTGTAATAAACTTTAGCAAATTTAGCTTACTAATTTCATCGCTTGAAGGTTTATCGAAGTTTTGTTCAATAGTTTATCGACATTTACCTGTATATTTAGTTATCCTTGGGTTAGAGATCTACAGTTATTTTCAATCTTTGACATATGACTTGAGAAATCTAATAGAACTTGTTTTTATCAATTTAGACCGTGAATGTTTTAAACAGGTGCATTTTTTGCAAATGAAAGGAGATTATTGAAACAAGTCTTTTTTTCCGTGTAAAATCAAAGTTAATCTTGTTCAAGTTGATCATGTGTTAGTGTTCATCAAAATGGCTCTTCTATTTAGTCATCACATTTTGTTTCTCGTTAAGTTAGATGTTCCTTCAAGTTTGGCTCATATTGGTCAACCGTGTAATTTATTGGGAATATGTTGGCCTCCTAATTTACATATATACTGTGATGATAACAAGATTTGTCAATGTAGACCTGAGACTCCTGTAGTTGTTGGTCCACATCAATGTAAACGTAACAAATCTCATGGTGATAAGTGTTCATCCGACGGAGAATGCATATTTTCGGACACCAATTCTATCTGTGATTCCAATCAGTGTAATTGTAAATCTAATTTCACGTATGATCCATACATTATGAAGTGCATTCATGGTGAGTAAAATTTTCTTCAATATCTCTCAACTAACCTTATGCATACTGGTTCAATCATGAAAGAGTGATAGAGTTGTGAAGCTGTTAATTTTCCATTTCCTATTGAATTGATCAACAAAATACCTGTTTTAGAGGATAGATCAACCGGTACATTTGAAACTTGTTTGCAAACAATCAAAATTTCCAGCTTACAATTCAGCAGTATTGTTTAAATTTTCCATATATTGTTTGACCTTTCATTATTCCCTTTCAGTTTTCATGTTATGTAACAAGCTGAGTTATCAATAGAGCGAATATTGATATGAATTAAGGAAAAGAATTGATAAAAGTAATTGTACTCTTGAAAGGTTGATTGAACCAGTTGATCATTTTACTAATCATCATTTATTTAAGCTTATTTATTAATTTAATTTTCCTTGTTTCCTTTCTTTTCATGTTTGCGCCATGCTCATCATTCAAAAGCCTCATTTCAACAAAGATCATCTTTTGGTGCATTTTTCACAATGCTGTCATCAGCGGCTCTTTGGGTCGTCCTGATTTTAATTGCCTTACTCATCAGCATACCTTGTTGCTTAGCCTTCATGTACCATTGTGTTTGCTATGATAACGCAAATACAGAATCATCACTATACCAAGAATCAAGTATTCGATTGAGATTATCAGAGACGGGATTTAGTAATTCAGATACAACTAATACTTCAAACGGTGCAATTACAGATGGAGAAAATGATGCTCGAATTTCATTGCGAAATGATGATAACTCAACACGCCAGTCCTATGAGTTGAGTAGTTTTGATGAGCCTCCACCATCGTATGATGAAGCTTGTAAAAGAACTCAGACTTCGCCAATATTGAGTAATGACACAGATGTGGCTGATGATTCTTTAAAATAAAAACTGGCCATTTATTTGAATAAAACCATGTAAAATAATGGATCAAGATGTGTTCTCATGCTGTTATCTGCTTCAAAAAAATCTCGTCATAAGGAAAAGAGTAAAACATTTCTCTTCTCTACCTAAATTACTTTAACCAGAAAAGGATTATTGGTTTAATCCTCGATAATGATATCAACACTAGAGTATCAATGATGAACCTTGGAATATTGAAATGATGAGAAGTATTCTAGTCACAACTCTCTTGCAAATCATCATTGTTTCCATCATCATCGTGTTAAAAGTGATGTTTCATTAAAAAATATGGCTCATCATCTGCTAATGAGTACATCTCAAGGATATTGATTTTCAAAGTTTTAACACCTAAAAACACACATTTGACTTTCACTAGACGCCCAATACAAAAGCTGATTACAACAAAACAAACATTAACTGTTCTAGTAAAGACAAAGACGAAACCCAAACGTAATGAATAAATCGTTCTTCTATTCAAAGTCTATTCCAGAATCTTTTTTCCAGTGTCAAAGGACTTGCATAAATTTACACCAACACAACAAAAACAAGATTCAAAACAAAATGAGGAAAATGCCAATTCAATTTGAATCGAAGAATATTTCCTTTCATTGTTTCAGCGTCACAAAATAATCTTTGTTACCAATTTTAATTTTATAATTCATTTTTAAAATTGACTTTTTTCTTGTAAAAGCAAAAAAGAGGAGAATGTTTCTCAATTTTCTCAGAATTTCTACCAACAATTTAATAAACGAAGGCAAACAAAGCCTTTACTCTGTAAAAGATGCAACTTGATGTTAAACAACATTGACAAACGTCGTTGGCTTTTTAATAGGAAACTCGTTGACAATTTGGTTTCAATTTAAATTACTTTGTAAGTGATAGTCAAAGTAAACATATCTACAACAATTAATCAGCAAGAAACCAACGACAAGAATATGAATTAAAACAAAGTGATATTACAAAATTTACACATTGAAAATCAATAGAGAGTTCGCAATTCTCTTTATCATTTTGCTACAATTTAGCAAACACAAAAATGACGCATTCCAAGTAAACGTAAATCTTTGCATTTCTTGTACAAATTTCAATGATTTCAATTTGATTTTGCTCGATTGATCGTTTCTCGTTATCCGCTCATTGGTTTTATTGCAATTTGATAAATTTGGTAATCGATTTGATTCTTTTGTAAAGGAATCTCTTGGAGATTACATGAATGGAAACAATTGCCCAAAGCATAGCGGATGCCATGAAAGCGGTCCTAATACCAGTTAAGACCATTTCTCGATATACACCGAAATGAGCAAGTGGAGCAGCAATTGGCAGAAGATAACGTTCAGCGGCAAGGAAAGCTAAACATCGAACTAATTCCGGGAAACAAGCGAACCACCTGAGGAAAAGTAAAAAAATAAAATGATCGTTTGAATAAATTAATGCTTTTTAAGATAAACACTCATTTTTTATATCAAATACTAACCTTCCTTCCAGTAAGAATCCAACCGTGGTTATTGATGTAAGAAGGGAAACAATGCCACAAATGACTGTGAATTGAGTCAAACTATGTTTTCGAAGGTTAAGCTCGTTATAAAACAATAGACAAAGACCAAAATGAGCATAACATAAATCTTTGATTTCAATCATCAATATTACTCTTTGATTTGTTCATAGTGCAATTACCTTTCTAAATTACATTTAATCATGTAATCTTAAAGCCTACCAGATAAGTCTGTAATAGTATTCTGATCATCTTTTCAACTAAACAAATGAAGACAGAGAATGTAACACTTCAAATGTTTATGCATTGCAATTGAAAATTAACATTGGATTTAAATGTCAACTGTAAAGAGGTCAAATAGTGTTACAACTGACGATTGATTTATTTTTACTTGCAAGATATCCAATTCAGATTAAGTTATCTGTGAGAAGATGATGAATGTTGTAAAAATAACATCAATTTTCATCATTTGTTCATAGTGCAATTACCTTTCTAAATTACATTTAATCATGTAATCTTAAAGCCTACCAGATAAGTATTCTGATCAACTGAAATTTATTTCACACTGAAAAGGTTGCCTTTTTTCAAATTATTCACTATTTGTAGTAGAGTCAATCAGTATCCAATTACATTATAATCGCGAATATACATGATCAGGCTTGCACAAGTGAATCATAAAGTTAAACTACTTCACATCATTGTTCATTAACCAATGAGCATAATCATATTAGCCTAATTATGTACGGAAATGAAATGAACAAAAAGTCAAAACCATTTCCAACATGTCAACAGTAATGGCAACAATAAACTCAAATTGTTAAATATGACATCAAAAATTCACTCATATTTTCAGCTTGAAATATTTTCAACTTAAAATTAACCTAAAATTAGAGCCATCTATGATTAAAAAATTACTTAAATTGACCAAGTTTATTATTAATTCAAATTGACTTTAAACTCTTTAGTTGCAATCGATTTGTTTAATTAAGGTAGACTTGCAATCAAGGAAATAATCTAATAAGTTCATTTTTATGATCAGAAATGTATCGAAACAAAAAATCATCTGACTTAACCTATTATTTTAACCCATAAATATTGAGTTAACCCGATTAGTTTGTTATTGATTCAATAGATGGCAGAGTAGTTCTTTTTACTGGATTTTTGTGTGTTTTTAATTCTCAGTTGTTTCATTTACGTAAAGGTAATGTCGTCTTTATACAGAGTGTGCGGTTAGTTGAAGTGTTTTTGGGGAAAAAGCTGTTGCCTTGATGCGCAAAGATTCATTTGATTTAAAGTGATCCTGATTGTTGAATTGTTTGCTGTATCTTGATGCGCATCCAACTTTAATAGCTTCTTAATCTCAATCCTGCCTTTACAAGCTTTTGTTTGTGTATACCCTGTACATGCACCAGCAGAGTCTCTCGATCAGCACAGTTTTGTTGGTGTAATCTGTAACAACATGACTAGCTGCAACTCTTGTGATCCATTTTTATTTTTTATTTTGATTTATCATTAATTAATTAACTCTCTTCATTTGGTGTAATTTTTCGTTTTTCTTCGTCTTCTTTTTCTCTCCTTCCTTTCCCCTTTTTCCTTTCTCTGTATCTTCTTTTTTCTTGCCTTCTCTCATCATTTCTCTATTTTTTGTCTCCAATCATTCTTCCTCTCTCTCTCTTTCTCTTCTTCTTTCTCTCTATCTATCCTTTTCTCTCTGTTCTACTTCCCTTACCTATTCCGTTTAAATTTCTGTGTATTTAGTAAATTAGTTGAAATTTAATTATGGGAGAAGTTGATCCAGAAACATTGCTAGAATGGCTATCGATGGGGCAAGGAGACGAACGAGAAATGCAACTAATTGCCTTGGAGCAGTTATGTATGCTTCTATTAATGTCGGATAATGTTGACCGATGCTTTGAAAGGTAACCTTTTTTGTTCCATTCTAAAATCTTGCCTTTTATAACCATTTTGTTTATTTTAATACTCCATTACTCCTCATTTTCTTACTCTTGTGTACAATTATTCATACCCTATTTTTCCTTGTATTACTCTAACGCTTTTTTTCTCTTCTCTTCTTTTCCATTTAGCTGCCCTCCGAGAACCTTTTTACCAGCATTGTGTCACATTTTCTTGGATGAATGTGCTCCAGATAATATACTTGAAGTTACAGCAAGAGCAATCACATATTACCTTGATGTTTCAGCTGAATGTACAAGAAGAATTGTTGCCGTCGATGGTACTGTTAAGGCAATTTGCAATCGACTTACTGTATCCGATGTTAATTCTCGAACCAGTAAAGACTTAGCAGAACAATGTATAAAAGTAAGAATCTTTGAAACCAGATTCTATGTTTGTTTATTTCTTTCTCTTTCTTCATCTCCTCATCAGCCTTGTTCCTTTCTTCTCTCCCTCTATATAAAAATCTTAACTATCTCACTCTTCATGAATTTTCACTTCAGCAAATGCTGTTTCTCTCTCTCTCTCTATCCTTTTCCCCTCTTTCTTAATCAGGCTCAATCACGCACTCCTTTGCCTTGTTTTCTTACCTTTTTTTCCTCTCTCCATTACTTTCTATCTGTCTCTGTATTTATGTGTGATAGTCTAGTTTTTATCGTCTACATGTTGATTTTAAGATTTCCTGTATCAAAGGTTGATTTTGAGTTGCGTTAAGGGATTTTACGTGCACAAAAAGATAAACAAATCAAAAACGATTCAGTGCGCAGCAAAAGAACAGTTTCCCCCATCAGCGACTCAATTTCCACCCTGTATTATGCCATCATCATAGTTTTCTCTCCCTTCTTTTACTATCCCCGATTTGCTCTTTATTCCCTTTTTGACTTATACGTCATGAATGACAATTGGAATCCCCTCAAGAGCTGAGCGTATTTTTGGAACTATTCTGGACGCTCTTGAATAAAATTTGGCTTCTTTTTATCTTGCATAGGCTTAAATATTTATTCTCATTTTCTCTTAGAGTCTCTAATAGTTTTCATGTTGAAAACCTTGGCGAAAGATGAGTGAAAGAATATGTTTGAGATAAATGAGAAAGAGTAGGGAAAACGATCTTTAACGTAATTTCTTGGCTCGAATATTTTCCGTGACACTTGAATATTTTCATTGACATTTAAAATAATATTCACACTCATTTATCTTTAATTTTTTTTACTTTACTTCTTTCTTATCAGGTTTTAGAGTTAATCTGCACCCGTGAAGCTGGAGCTGTATTTGAAGCTGGTGGCCTGAATGCAGTTCTTACATTTATCCGAGACAATGGATCACTCGTACATGAAGATACACTTCACTCTGCTATGGCAGTTGTTTCACGTCTTTGTGGCAAAATGGAACCACAAGATGCTTCACTACAATCTTGCGTCAGATCTTTGTCAAATTTATTGAAACATGAAGACAGCCATGTTGCTGATGGTGCTCTTAGATGTTTTGCTTCTTTAGCAGACAGATATACTCGTCGAGGAATTGATCCAGCACCATTAGCTGAGCATGGTCTAGTTGACCAACTTTTGATAAAATTATCTTCTGTTAATGATATCAGTCATTTAAATACATCTTTACTTGCTACTGGACAAACTTTAAATGCATCCGGAGCTAGTGAGAGCAAGTCATCACAAACAATATCAACTGTGATTAGTTTATTATCCACTTTATGTCGTGGATCACCTTCAATTACATCAAACCTTCTGCGATCCAATTTAACTGCAGCAATTGAATCATCCTTGCAAGGTGATGAAAGATGTGTCCTAGATACAATGAGGCTGGTTGATTTACTCCTTGTACTTATTTTTGAAGGCAGAAATGCACTCCCGAAATCAACAGTGTCTTCAGCTCCATCACGTCTAAATTTTCGCAGATTGGACAGTGCCGGAGAAAGAACGCATCGTCAGCTTATAGATTGCATCAGAAGTAAAGACACTGATGCCCTTATAGACTCTATTGACTCTGGTAATATTGAGGTCAACTTTATGGATGACGTCGGCCAAACTCTGCTTAATTGGGCTTCAGCCTTTGGTACGCAACAAATGGTAGAGTTTTTGTGTGAAAGAGGAGCTGATGTAAATAAGGGTCAACGCTCTTCTTCACTCCACTATGCCGCTTGTTTCGGTCGACCTGGAGTTGTCAAAGTTTTGCTCCGTCATGGAGCCAACCCTGATTTAAGGGATGAAGATGGTAAAACACCTTTAGATAAAGCTCGTGAACGTAATGATGAGGGTCATCGTGAAGTTACAGCAGTCCTTCAATCTCCTGGAGAGTGGATGTGTCCCGTTGGTACAACTAGTAAATGTGATAGTGGCAAAGATTGTTGTTCCACCTCAGGATGTGAACCTAAAGGTGATCCAGAAATGGCACCAATTTATTTAGAACGTCTTCTACCTGTATTTTGTCAAACATTCCAATCAACAATGGTTAGGGCTGTTCGTAAATCTAGTTTGAATTTAGTCAAAAAGATGGTTCATTATATTCAAACAGAGCAAATTGTTCGGCTTAATGAAAAGTTTCCTACATTACCTCCAATGCTTGTTGAAGTGATCTCGAATGTGCTGGATAGTGAAGATGATGATGAAGGTTATTTACTTGTTCTACAAATGATTCAAGATTTAATGGCCAAAGGATCTGACATATTTTTAGAACATTTTGCCAGATTAGGAGTATTTACTAAAGTGCAAACGCTTGCGGGTCTCAACTGTAATCAAGATAAAATGATATCATTTGAACCAAATGTACAAAAATTGAAAGATAGTGAAGAAGATGAAGAAAGCTGTGTAGATGACGCTAAAGATATTTTACCTGGTCGCCCTTACCATTGGAAAGATTGGAGCTTAGTTCGAGGTCGGGAATGTTTATACTTGTGGTCTGATTCTGCAGCTCTTGAGTTATCAAATGGGAGCAATGGCTGGTTTAGGTTCATTTTAGACGGCAAACTTGCTACCATGTATTCAAGTGGCTCACCTGAAGGGGGAACCGATTCATCAGAAAGTAAAGGAGAATTTTTAGAAAAACTGCAAAAAGCCCGAAGTCAAGTAAGGAGCAATATAGCAAGTCAAAGTATTCTGTCGTCACCCTCATCTTCTCATGTGATTGTTGGTAATTGGTCATTAATGTGTCGCAAAGAGGGAGAACTGATAATCCACAACGCTGATGGTGATCAACAATCTACTATCTTGAAAGAAGATTTGAATGGTTTCATTTTTGAATCAAACAAAGGAACTAAACATTCTTTCATCGCTGAAACAAGTTTGGGCCCTGAATTTGTTTCTGGTTGGACAAATCGTAAAGGCAAAAAGCAAAGATCTAAAATTGAAGCAATGAAACAAAAAGTGAAAGATCAGGCCAAGGAAGTGTATGAAACTTACTTTAAAAGTGCACAACAAACACCACGCAGTACTGTTGCTAAATTGGCAAAGATTGTGGCTCAAATTGAAAGAGCTTGTGAAAAACAAACATTTCTTAATAGAGATTCACGAGATTGGGAAAATATTTTGAGCTCTGCTCTAAGTGATTTAGCTGAATTATTGTGTGAAGAAAGAGCAATTTCATCGTATGAATTTCATACCAGCGGATTAATTCAAGCTTTGCTTAAACTATTAGCAAAAGATCAATCAAAATCAACATGGAGGTCATCTGAAAAATATGTGAAAGATAGGTTGGAAATATTCAAAAAACAATTGAGTGACGAAGAACTTGCTGTTGCTCTCATTAAAAAATTAATAGCTGTTTTAGAGTCGATAGAAAAACTTCCTGTGTATATTTATGATTCACCTGGTTCAGGTTACGGCCTGCAAATTTTAACAAAACGTTTGAGATTCCGGTTGGAGAGAGCTTCAGGGGAAACCTCTCTAATAGATCGTACTGGACGATGCCTTAAATGTGAACCATTAACAACTGTTAATCAGTTGGAAAAATACCTCTTAAAAATGGTAGCTAAGCAATGGTATGATTATGACAGGTCAACTTTTGCATTTGTTAAAAGATTAAAAGAGTGTAAAAATGGCCTCAAATTTACTCACCAAAGAGATTTTGATGAAAATGGAGTTATCTATTGGGTTGGAACTAATGGTAAAACTACTTCAGATTGGGTTAACCCTGCATCAGTCGGTCTTCTAGTGGTTACTTCTTCAGAAGGTCGAAGTTTACCTTTTGGTCGACTTGAAGATATTTTAAGTCGAGATACAACGGCCCTAAATTGTCATACAAATGATGATAAGCGAGCTTGGTTTGCAATTGACCTTGGCTTGTGGCTAATACCGTCCTGTTATACACTCAGACACGCCAGAGGGTATGGAAGATCTGCCCCAAGAAATTGGTTGCTTCAAGCATCAAAGGATGGTATCAATTGGACAACTTTATACACTCACGTAGATGATTGTTGTCTCAATGAGCCTGGTTCAACTGCCTCATGGCCTCTCAATCCACCATCAGATGAAAAACAAGGTTGGCGGCACATTAGATTACAACAAACTGGTAAAAATGCAAGTGGGCAAACCCATTATCTATCTATATCTGGTTTTGAAATCTATGGAACTGTCACTGGAGTTTGTGATGATTTAGGTAAAGCTGCTAAGGAAGCTGAAGCTAACTTGCGAAAACAAAGACGTCAAATTAGACAACAATTAAGATACATGATCATTGATGCACGTGTTGTCCGTGGACCTGATTGGAAATGGAGAGATCAAGATGGTAACCCTCCAGGAGAGGGAACCATTACTGGTGACATCCATAATGGTTGGATAGATGTTGCCTGGGACAGTGGGGGATCTAATTCATATCGGGTTGGTGCTGAAGGTAAATATGACATAAAATTGGCACCCTCTAATGACCCAGAGCTCTCAAAAAGGAATCTCTCTATGGCCATGGCCTCAACATCAGGTTGTCTTTTCTCTTCCAATCATCCACCAACAACTCCTGTCAGTATGGCATCAGTTCTTGGTATTCCCGGTATTTCTAGAGGTTCTCGAATAGCTGAAACATCTACTACTAACACTCATTCAGCGCGAGGAAGTGTATCAGCTTCTGTTTTAACTAGTCGTAAAAGTAGTTCTACTTCAAGCTTGGTTGAACCGTCCTCAAATGTTAATAAAATGACCGTTTCATGTACAGAACAAGCAGCCTCAGTGGATAGTCTTGTTGTTAAGAAAGCTGCCCAAGCCGTTGCTGAAAGTGTATTAACACGAGCAAGGGCGGACACAGCACTAGCAGAGCAGAGTAATGACACCATATTCAGCGTGGGACTTTCGCCAACCCAGGAGGAAACTGAAGAATCAATTGCGGAAAGTGAACGACCCACTTCACCCACTCCATCTATGGAAGATCAAAGGTCTTGTAATGCAGCTGGAACATCTTCTATATCATCAAATAAGATAACTGAACAACAAACTACCAATGCTCGATCCAACAATTATCCTAGTACTATGAGTGTCTCAGTGCCTAATCTGTCAATCAATTCAAATGTAAATGACTCAACTGTCAACCTTTTGGAAAGCTTCTCTGCGGTAGCAAGACGTCGAGGGAACAGTACCACCTCATCAACCTCATCATCATCATCTTCATCAGCTTCTGCTGCCGCAACAAATACAAATAATTCATTGCTCTCAAGTAATTCCAATAATGTCTGCAGCCTCGTTAGATTGGCTTTATCGTCCAATTTTCCTGGTGAGAAATTTTTTCCTTCATTTATCAACAAATCTTACTCTCATTAAGAATCATTGCACTATTTTCTTAACCCCTTTTCTTTTTCTATCACATTTTAAAATTCCTTTTTCTTTATCTCTTTTTCTGTTTCTCATAACATAGAAATTTTTAATGATCTTCTCGAGGAAATCTCCAACAGCGCAGATTCACCATCTCCCGATGATGCCTGTACAAATTTACTTCAAGGTAAATGTCCTTGTTACCAAACCTCGTTTGTTTTTTACTTATATTTTTCATTGTTTCGAGTTAGCTCGAATCAGCTAGGCTCGCCCACGCTTTTCTCGTTATTATTGAATTCAGTTATTTGTTATTATCAGATAGATACTAAATTCTTTTCTTTATTCTTTCTTTAGCCCGCGGTCTTTTGAGCACAGCTCAAAGTTATCCAAGCCTCACTTCACCCACGTCTCTCACATCCACAACCCTTACATCAAGCCACTCAATTAATGCTCCCATAGCTGCAGCTTCATCACACTCTGCTGCTCATGGGGCTGCTGGAGGTAGCAACAGCTCTGGCGGAAATGCTGTTGGTAGTAACAGTAACCAAAGTCATTCAGCTTCACAAATTCATCATTCATCAGGCTTGGGCCATCATGGGCTTACAATGAGTCTAACATCAACATCGAGTGAAAGTGAACAAGATTATTTAGAGACGTGTCAGGCAACCACGTTGCTTGCTGATTTAGAAGATGAAGAAGAACTTCCGGACCCTGAAGATGAAAATGAAGACAATGAAAATGATTATGATGAATATGAAGAACTTATGGAAGAGGAAACCTTTGAATTTAGATCACCGAAAAGAAGAAATTGGGATGACGAATATGTTCTTAAAAGACAGTTTAGTGCTTTGATTCCTGCATTTGATCCTCGACCTGGTCGCATCAATATTAGTCAAATAATTGATCTAGATATACCTACTCCTGGAGCATCAACATCAAACAATGATGGTATTAAAATAACCAATCCTGAACCCAAAGTTTTATTGTCCATCCGAGGGCCTAACCTGAATGGCTCTGGTGAACTTGAGATTGACTTGGTCAATCCAAATTGGACAATATTTTCAGCTGTGCAATTGTTAAACCAAGCTTCAGTGGGAGGCTCAAGACAAGAGAAACTACGAAGAGTTTGGGAACCAACCTATGTATTAACCTACCGTGAAGCTGGTCCACACGAAATGAACGAGCAACTTAAGATCCAAAACGCATCTATCAAAATGGTTCTCACCAATAATCATAATAGAATCAGTGTAACTAGTCCCGTAAAAATAAATCCTGATAACAGCCTTGGATCTTCAGTTGACAGTGTTCTTCAGCTTCTTCATTTGTTACATTGTATTTCAAGAGATTCAAAGGACAATGACAAACTTTATGGTGACATAATTTCGTCCTCATCTGTTGGATTTAGTATACCCAATGAAGAGTTTATTAGTAAAAAGATAACAAATAAATTAGTTCAACAAATTCAAGATCCACTTGTTTTAGGCTCTGGATCCCAGCCTGATTGGTGTGACAATCTTACCTACTCTTATCCCATGTTGTTTCCCTTTGAGACTCGTAAAATTTACTTCAATTGTACTGCATTTGGTACATCTCGATCCATTGTCTGGCTACAAAATCAACGTGATCAAGCTCTTGATCGTTCTCGAGGTCCATCACCAAGACGTGAAGATATTCACGAGTTTAGGATTGGTCGATTACGCCATGAAAGGGTTAAAGTACCTCGTAATGAGGATCTATTATCCTGGGCCATGGAAGTAATGAAAATCCATTCAGACCGTAAAAGCATATTAGAAGTTGAATTTAAAGATGAAGAAGGTACCGGCCTTGGACCAACATTGGAGTTCTATGCACTTGTAGCAGCTGAACTTCAACGTCGTGATTTAGGCATGTGGTTATGTGATGACGAACTTGTTACCAACATGAAAGATTCTAATGCTGATAAAGAAGAAGGTCTAACAAAGCCACCTGGATTTTACATACATTCATCAAGTGGTTTATTCCCTGCACCCTATCCCCAAAATCATCCTAAACTTACAAAAGTTCTCGAGTATTTCCATTTCTTTGGAATTTTCTGTGCAAAAGCCCTCCAAGACAATAGACTGGTCGATTTGCCACTGTCCACATCTTTCCTAAAATTAATTTGTAGCAGTAACACTGCCGAAACCAAAGTTATCGAGGATGAAGGTGAAGCTGTAAATATGGTACATTCAAATTTCAATAGTTGCCTCTCATCACCTTTATCTGAAGATGATCTTCTTCTCTCTGAGAGAGAAGAAATATCTCGTCAAGTCCGTCTTAAGAGAGAAAAATTTGAGCGACGAGGTCACTCATGGATGTCCAGGGTTCTCAATGAGAAAGATTTTGCCTCCATCAATCCTCATCAAGCAGCATTCTTGCAACAACTTCATGAGCTGTCCATGATGAAACAAAAGATACTCTCAGACAAATCTTTATCTATTGAAGATAGACAAAATCAAATAAGAAACTTATCTCTACCAATGAATCAAGCACAAATACCAATCAGACTAGATGAATTGGACCTAACATTCCAATATTTACCACCATCACAAGTGTATGGCTTCTCAGCTGTTGACCTTAAACCAAATGGAGAGTTTGAAGAAGTTACAATTGACAATGTTGAGGAATATTATGAATCAATGTTAGACTTTTGCCTTCATTCTGGTATTAAAAAACAAATGGAAGCTTTTAAAGGTATGTTTACAGACTTTATTTAGGTCGCACCAAATATGGCCTCTTTTCTCATCTACCCTTCTATCTTTCATTATTATCATTTTCCGTTACTAAATTATCTTGTATTGTTTTATTTATATTTATAGATGGATTCAACAAGGTTTTTCCAATGTCTAAATTGGGATCATTTACATCTGATGAAGTTCGCCTCATGTTATGTGGTGAACAAGCTCCATCTTGGACTCGAGAAGATATACTTGCTTATACTGAACCGAAATTGGGTTACTCAAGAGAAAGGTGAGTTGACGCTTTTCAGGCTAAAAACAAGCTAACTTGCTTAGTTTAGCATTTTTTGAAACGTATTTGTTTGTTTCTTGTAAATCTACTTTTCCTCTTTTTTTTCTCCTGATTACTAACTTATTCTCATGTTTCTTCCATTTTTTTTCTATTTTTATCCTTTTACCTCCACTCTTGGAATTGCCTCTGCGATTATCAATTATCTGATTGCGATCTGTTGTTGATGCACTTAATGATTCTACTTTAGTCTTGGATTCCAACGGTTTGTCTCTGTTTTATTGGCCATGACTGGAAACGAGAGAAAAGCTTTCCTTCAATTCGCTACTGGATGCTCATCCTTACCACCCGGTGGACTAGCTAATCTTCATCCTCGATTAACTGTTGTTCGTAAGGTGGATGCCACTGATGGCAGCTATCCTTCTGTCAATACCTGCGCTCATTATCTTAAAATGCCTGACTATTCAAGTGAGGAAATTATGAGAGAGCGATTATTAGCAGCAACAAAAGAGAAAGGATTCCATTTGAATTGATTTACAAATTTGATTTAACAAAAAATACTAAAAAAATACTAAAGCAAAAGTTTATTTATATAAAATACAAAAAAAAGTTTATGTTGGAAAGCTTAAACAAAATACAGATTAATTAAGTTGTATAGCTCGTAAAAATTGATGGTAATTTGAAAAAAAAGTATTGTCGCGATTTAAAATATTTCATTGAAATAAACAAACACATAATGTGAGAGGTAATTAAACCTGATTGATTGTGGATTCATAATTTACGTTATAAAGAACTCCTAAAATTGACCAAAAAAGAAATTAATAATTTCTCTGATTCTCAAATTCAACGAAAAAAATAAAGTTATTATCAACCAGAAAACAAATATTCAAGTTTTACTTTTATTGTAAACACGAGTTTTCAATGTTCAACGATAATAATTGATTGATTATCAAAATAAAAACGTAAAAACAATTGAAAAGCTTAAAAAATTTAATAAAATCTCAAGGATAACTATAATTAGGTTAAACATATTAAATACAATTGTACAATGGGTTGTACAAAACAAATTAAAGGGAGATAACATTGATTTGACCCAAAAGAGGTACACCAATGATTATTAATGAAAAAATTAATACGATGGAAGATGATTTGATTGGTAAATTGAACAATTTAGCCACCATACTAAGTGATGAGGTGTATTGAAGTAGTGAATTCAATTCTGATTCATCTGTATGCTGATATCCAAAGGGACGAGCTTTCAATTCATGGCCAAGACTTCTTAAGATTCTACAAGATTGAGTTAACCGGACAGCTTGAATCATTGGAACCAACAAGATAGCAATCCAAAGAATTGCCGAGATAATAAGCAATGAATAACTTGACAGATTATTGATTCTGGTGAATAACAGGAATGTGTAAAGACAAATTTTACAAATAAAAACAATTGAAACCAAAGAGACGCAAACGGCTTGATTATTATTTAGATAAGCAACAAATTTCCTTGCCTCTTCAGCCCTTTGATAAAACTCCTGTAATGAAATAGAAAAAATAAAAAGCATAAATAAATTAATTAATCAAAACCAGAATTGTATCTATGCTAATGAAGACTGGCAAATTAAATATTGCGCATGAAAAATTACTCATTTTCCGCGAGACTTTACATTTGGCAACTCAATTAATAAACTAATCTAATAATAAACATTATCATTCTTTGATTTAGAAGTCTTGATATCGGGTAATGTGTGCAAGATCATGCGATCAACATTCAACCAGTTGATGAATCTTCAGTCTAACTCATGTAAATTCAGATTGTTTTCTGATAATCTGATGATATTTTTCCTAGTCAATGTAAATTGATAGCTATTATTGAGATAATGGATTGGCCTCTTGCAGGTTTATAAGGAATTTTGTTTTCCATACCTGAAAGGTTATTCTTTTTTCTCTAACTCCTTGGCAAAGTGAGGTGATGAATGAAATATTCAGCTGACAATGGACAGCATAGCTGGTTACGATAGCTGAACAGATGATATCGAAAACAGTCAGGCAAGCGACTGTCAAATAGACTAGAACTCTATGAATATTATTTACATGGAAATGATATTGATTGAAGCTGTCCGGTGCGCTTTTGTAGACATCTGATGGGTAATGAGTAGCATCAGTATGCGAACAGTTTGAGTAATGGTCGGCTCTTAAATTGACACCCAATGAGCTGGGTAGACAATTGAAATTGACTAGAGTGATGTTAAAATGGACAATGTGAAGTATGCATGACGATATGATCCAAACTGCTGATAAAAGGAGGAAAACACGTAAAGTTGATATAAGACGACGACTTTCAATGAACCAATTAGCTGTTTGAGATAATTGCAGAAATCCTCTTTCCATTAGATTCTCGAGACGTTCACATTCAGGTGTACGCAGTAAGTACAAGAGGTAAAGGTAGGAAGCAAAATGAAGTAAATCAGGAATGACGAAGTGAGATATTAACTTATTGTTGCAGGTATTTGAGTCGCTAATCAATTCAATGGGCAATGGTGTTGTTGAAAGCATATTTGGATCATAAACAGATCCATTGGAATCACTTACATCGGACTTGTTTGTTAAAAAATTTGAATCTGGCGAGGTACTTTCATTTATAATGATGGTGCTTGAATCACTATTTGACAAGATCAAAGGTAAAAGATGAGGTAAACCATCACCTCGATAGCAAGTACAATATGAAAGAAAGTAAGCAGAAAATATGAGAACCAGAATCAATAAAGTATAAGTAAAATTGACTAAATTAATCAACCAGTTGATTAGAAGGTTAAGAAAATATGTAAATGTTGTAAACACAGGCGCTTCATTTGTTGGTGTTGAGGGTTCTGTTGAGAGTGATGGCTGATGAACAGGTGATGTTTGTAAGGAAGACAGTTGAGATGAACTTGATGACGAAGAGAGGGGAACTGTTGACAATAATGGTCGCCATCCAAGGAAAGAGGTGAGACGAAAATAAGGTGACAACACTTTGTGTTTACAATATACTAAAACAGCTGAAACGGAATTATCCTGACCAAAGTTGAAATTTTCCAGATTCACTACCAGCATTGTATGGTCAGTACTGATTGATGTTGCCATACTTTTTGAAGGCATTTTCAATTAAAAATTAATGGTTGAATTTTGAACTCAATGATGGAACCTTTGGTTACTGGTTTGAAATGGCGTCAATTGAAAGAGCTGGAATCACTCTGATCCTTGGTACAATCAAGTTTATTGTGCACAAAGTAATCATTTTTTGTTGCTAATCTTCACAGATTATCGTTAATCTAGATCCAAAGAGTAAAGATCTTTGATCTGAATCTATCTTTGCATTGGTAATTATTTAAAATGTTAAAATTGAACATTTTTTCACTAAAATTTTCTGTTAAAAACAAAGGTAAAAAGGTTGTTACTTAAGCAAATGAAGTCTTGGTTTTGCTTGTCTTTGCTTTTGCTCTTCTTTTTTAGTTTCTTTGTCTCGCCATTACTCAGAGTTTGATTTTAAATTAACAGATATCAACCAATCGAGTGTTTAGACTGTAACGGTTTTGTTTTTGCGAGTTAAATTCCCATTTTCATCTTACAGCTGTTTAAACCTATTTATTTGTAATGCTTATTGTTGAAGGCAATGATATTGTTTCTGGATAAAATTACGCCTGCATCAATCATCAATGGCAACAATAATCACTCAATTTATATTGGACATATTTCATTATCAAATGAACTTTAATCATGCATTCTAAAAGCCAAACAAGCATTCAATTCTCATTCTTGCTACAACGGGGAAAGAATAGTCAAGATTTATTAATTGTAGATGAATTATCTTATCAATAAATGCTGTATTTAAACCAACGGTTGATTGTCAAAACTTACATTACCATTTTAAAATACTGTAAATGTCAAGTGAACAATTAAATAGCATCGCCTTTTCAATAAATATCAAATTGAAGTGTACCCAATTGATCCAAATAAAGACGCTGTCAACACGAGCGTAAAACTTTATTCCCAGATTTGACGCCAGATTTGCGTTTGTTAAAATTTATGCGCGCTTAACGCACGTTTAAATTTCTAGTAAAAAGAGTTTCCCCACCTTGATTCGATCCTCTCACCCTCTTAATTGTCAATTAAACTTGACCAACTCTTTAACCACTGAGCTATTATTTGATTTTAAAAAGTAAAACATAATTTATCAAGTGTATTGTATAAACAGACATTGATACCTTTCCTTGACTGAAAATTATTGCGTTAAACGCAAAAAACGCAAAGAGGCAAACAATTCTGCGTATTAACTTTAGTCGCTGGCCTTACGCTCTCTTTACTTTGCTTTCGGCACAAGACTTGGATCGATTGGGTAACTAACAAGATTTTTTTAGTAAAGGCGAGAATTGGTTGAAAGTTCACTTAAAATCAGTCATTGACAGATAATCATCAGTTTATTTATCAATGATAATGGTAACAATCAAAGTTAATGACTAACAGTGCAAATTGTGTGAAAATTAAACCTCCAATAGTTTATTTTGGCATCACAAGATGTCAGAACAATCATAAACTGAAGTTTAATGAAACAAAATGAAAGTCAAGTTACTTTATGTAACGAAATCAAGAATGAAACGTCCTTCTTTACCTGGACATTTCACCAGTGGGTTACCCTATGCTAAACGTGGTAAAGTTGCTATTAGCCCGGGGATAACAAATGAAGATTTTTATACTTTACATTGACTTTAATCACTACGATTATAATCGCATGAAGTCATTAATAGGCGAAAGTCAAGCCTTTTACACACTTTTTTTAACGTCAAATGGTAAGAAAAGCCGAAAAACCGAGATGGATTAAAGGATGAAGATGATTATGCCGAAGACGTTACAGTCTTATTTTTTGTTTGACAGTCTATTCTATTAAATCAATGAATTGTTCAAGATTATATCGTTATATTTCGCTTTATTCGTTCATTTCATTACAATATAAGAAGACTGAATAGTTCATTTCGATGATAATTCTCAAAATGGTCCAAATGCTTCAAGGTCTTTAGCTGTGGGGGCTACAGCTGTGTTTATGGTCTTTGGGACCGTAAGGAGCTGAGCTTGGACAATAACAAATTCACAGATGGCTGAAATAACCAGGATCCAGATTAATTGGAAAAGGCTGATACTCATTTCTGATTTGAACTGTTGATATTTTTTGCAATGAGAAGCAGAAAACACAATTTAGATGTAACTCTGATAGTTTTACTGTAGATCTTTTAATGATGATCTCAATCGGAATTTGCATTCTCTAATACAGAAAAATCAACGCATCCTGAAAAAATAAGCAACTTCAAATGATAATCATTATAATTATTACTCAGTTTCGATTGAACTATTCAAATATAGCTCATAGTTGATGGTTTCAATTACTTGTATTAATTGAGTTTTTTTCACAAATTTAGATAAATTTAAAAAAAAGAGAAATGTTAAGGTTAACTTGCAGAAATCGATTAATTAACACTTTCCAATTCTAACATATAAAACTCATTGGTTCATCAACAAAATGTTCGAAGCCTCATGATATTGGAATAGCTGTTGTTTCATGAGTCAACTATTAACATAACTAAATATTGATTCGAAGGCAACTATAACCTTTAGATAATTACTATTAATGAATAACATACAACATGGCACCTAGTCATTGAAGATTGCATATGAATGCAATTTTGAGGGTGACTTCAATGGTACAATGCCAATTTTGAGTGACATTTTAGGTTGAATTTGAGTTTTGATTAAAAAATATTATACTTTCACCAATCTACACAATATATAAAGTCAATGTATCAAATGTTTGTGTCAAGGTTGTGGCAAACTGAACAGGTTCTAAGAAAAAAAATACACGGCATGAAAGCTCTAATTCTGCTAGCGTTACACCCTACGAAAAATAGGAAACCTCTCCTCAGAATTCAGATCTCTGAGAAATTCATGAAAATAGAAGTTGGGTGGAAAAATGTAGAATCCGTATTCAATAACATTGAGTTAGGGGGAAAATTTTTTCTGTTATTCAGGTTTATGGCTCATTTTTGGACCAGGATTTTATGTAAAACTTTGTTTTGAGTAAAAAGTAAAAAGTTTGGTAAAAAATCTGGTGCGATGAAAAATCTGTAACCTGATGAGCTTTTAGGGTTATAAGAACAGAAACCATTTGTGTAGTTAAAAGATTTCTATGATTCTCTGAATTTAGCAAGCTTGCGATGAGCTATGATCGCAGCAGTTTCTTGTCAAAATAAAATGAATGAATTTTTTGAAATGGTTCTTGTTAGCCTAGGTCAAGTTAACTATGTAAGTGTAATCTATTGATCTCTCTAATAGTAGTTCATTATCAATATACTTTAAAGTAATGTGTAAGTAAAGGTGGCATCAAGTTAATTTTATTGCTGTTTTCATCTGAAGTTTATTTTGCTAAAGTTATTAAACATTACTCACATCGGACTTGTTTGTTAAAAAATTTGAATCTGGTGAGTTACTTTCATTTATAATGATGGTGCTTGAATCACTATTTGACAAGATCAAAGGTAAAAGATGAGGTAAACCATCACCTCGATAGCAAGTACAATATGAAAGAAAGTAAGCTGAAAGAGAGTACTGATTGATGTTGCCATACTTTTTGAAAGCATTTTCAATTATTGTCAACATTTGTTCACTAAAATTTTTGTTAAAAACCGCGATGAATTAAAGGATAAAGATGATGCCGAAGACGTTACAGTCTTATTTTGTGTTTGACAGTCTATTCTATTATATCAATGAATTATTCAAGATTATATCGTTATATTTCGCTTTATTCGTTTATTTCATTACAATACAAGTGGACTGAATGATTTATTGCGGTGATAATGGCTCTGCTGGAATTGGTGGGAGGAGTCCAGGACCGTCTAGGTTTATCTGAGCTTGGACCATAATAAATCCATAGATGGCTGAAATAGCCAGGAAACATATTACTTGGGCAAGGCTGATATTCATTGTGCGTTTAAACTCTTGATATTTTTTCTCAGTGGAAAGCAGAATACACAATTTAGATTTAAAACTGATACTTTTATTGTAGATCTTTTAATGATGATCTCAATCGGAATTCGCATTCTTTATACAGAAAATTAACGCATCCTGAGTACATAAACAACTTGAAATTATAATTATTATAATTTTTACTCAGTTTCGATTGAAGCTATTCAAATAGTTGAAGGTTTTAATGGCTTTTATTAAGCTAGCATAAATTTAGATAAAGATATAAAAACAGAGACATTAACTTGTAGAAATGCCACATCTCAATTGAAACATGAAACGCATTATTTGATCAACAAAATATTCGAACCCTCATGATATTGTTTTGCTGTTATTTTATGAGTCAATCATTAACATACTCAAATATTGATTCGAAGTTAACTATAACCTTAGATAATTACTACTAATGAATAACATACAACGTGTAACCTAGTCATCCTTTTTTACCAATCAAAATAAAATGTCTCATTTTTGCTCACAACGGCGAAAAAATAGTCAAGATTCATTATTTGTTAATGAATCATCTCATCAATAAATGCTGTATTTTAAACCGACGGTTGATTGTCTTACTTACATTAAAATTTTAAAATAAATGTCGAGTGAACAATGAAATAGCATCGCCCTTTTAGTAAATATCAAATTGAAGTATGACTATTAATAACAAAACATTTTCAGTAAAAACGAGAATTGGTTGAAAGATGATCTAAAATCTGTCAATTGACAGATAATCATCAGTGATCATTTATCAATGATAATGGTAACAATCAAAGTTAATGACTAACAGTGCAAATTGAGTGAAAATTAAACCTCCAATAGTTTATTTCGGCATCACAAGATGTCAGAACAAGCATAAACTGAAGTTTAATAAAACAAAATGTAAGTCAAATTACTTTATGAAACGAAATCAAGAATGAAACGTCCTTCTTTACCTGGACATTTCACCAGTGGGTTACCCTATGCTAAACGTGGTAAAGTTACCATTATCCCGAGGCAAACATATAAAGATTTTGATACTTTACATCGACTTTAAGGGTATTGACAAAATCAGAATCAAGCACTACGATTATAATCGCATGGAGTCAGTAATAATGCGAAAGCCAAGCCTTTTACACACTTTTTTCAGCGTCAAATGTGAAAAAAGCAAATGATGAAACAAAAAAAACCGAGGAACCGCGATAAATTAAAGGATAAAGATGATGCCGAAGACTTTACAGTCTTATCCTGTGTTTGACAGTCTATTCTATTATATCAATGAATTATTCAAGATTATATCGTTATATTTCGCTCTATTCCTTTATTTCATTACAATACAAGACAACTAAATGGTTCAGTTCGGTGATGATTTTCAATATGGGTTCATTTTCCTGGGATAACTGGGATTTCTGGGGGTCCAGCACCGTCTTGGTTTATCTGAGCTTGGACCATAACAAATCCATAGATGGCTGAAATAGCCAGGAAACAGATTACTTGGGAAAGGCTGATATTCATTGCGAGTTTAAAATGTTGATATTATTTTCAGTGGGAAGCAGAAAACACAATTTAGATTTAAAACTGATGTAGATTTTTTAATGATGATCTCAATCGGAATTCGCATTCTTTTATACAGAAAATTAACGCATCCTGAGTAAATAAACAACTAGAAATTATAATATTATAATTTTTACTCAGTTTCGATTGAAGCTATTCAAATATAGCGCATAGTTGAAGGTTTTAATGGCTTTTATTAGTTTAGCATAAACTCAGATAAATGTAAAAACAGAGACATTAACTTGTAGACATCGACACTTTTCAATTTAAACATGAAACGCATTATTTGATCAACAAAATATTCGAACTCTCATGATATTGGAATAGCTGTTATTTCATGAGTCAAGCATTAACATACTCAAATATTGATTCGAAGTTAACTATAACCTTTAGATAGTTACTACTAATGAATAACATACAACGTTTCACCTAGTCACTGAAGATTGCAGATGAATCCAATTTTGAGGGTAACTTCAATGGTAACAAAGACTATTTTGAGTGACATTTTAGGTTGAATTTGAGTTTTATATTTGCTGTTGATTCGCAAAACGTTTTTCCACTGTAAATCAATTTCTTTTTGGTCATAAATGTCATTTCATTTTGTCATTTGGATGCAGTCGCTTTCATTACCTTTGCAACGAAAGTTTTAAGGTTAAGATTCAATTTAGCCATCTTTTCAGCACATAAACACTCGCTAGTTTATCGATTGGAATTATACCCAATTGATCCAAGTCTTGTGGCGCAAGCAAAGTAGAGAGAACGTAAGGCCAGCGCATAAAGTTAACACGCAGAATTGTTTGCCTCTTTGCGTTTTTTGCGTTCACGCAATAATTTTCACTCAAGCAAAGTATAAATGTCTGCTTATACAATACACTTGAAAAATTATAGTGGGTAAATGTCAGTGGTCAAGTTTGATTGACAATTAAGAGTGTGAGAGGATCGATTCAAGGTGGGGAAAGTTTTTTGTTACTAGAAATTTAAACGTGCGTGTAGCGCGCATACATTTTATCAAACGCAAATCTGCCGTCAAATCTGGTAATTAAGTTTTACGCTCGTGTTTACAGCGTCTTTATTTGGATCAATTGGTTATCTATTTCTTCACAGCATTTGTACATATTTTCAAAGGAATCATACCTTTCTGACTAGCTGACTGATTAACAGTGAAAAATTTTCACTGAAAATTTCAACCTCTAACAGTAGTTTGATTGGGTGTCACGAGATGTCAGAGCTTTAACCTGTATAAACTGAAATTAAATTTGAAAAAATATTTTCATCAAAATTTAAAGCCAAATTATGTTAATTTATTTATTATATTGATGATAAAATCACGATTAATTAACATCATTTCTGTATTGATTTACGTTTTTAAAGCTTAATGAACAATTACTGAGCCTAATACATATCACGGACTCAACTATACTGAATATACTTAGCAATGGTCTCAACTTATTCAACAATTGACTATTTTAAAAATGAGCAACAGTTATAATCAATGTTGAATCAAAGTCAAGCTGTTTTAGGCAACTTCATCTTGTAATGCTTTTACAAATGAAAACTAAAAATATTCAGTCAAACAGCAACAATCATGTGAAACTGAAACAATTTGCAAAAAACAATGTTTAAATTGTAAACATTTCAACTCTGAAAAAAAGTTTCATTGACTTTGCTATTTGCTCACTTAATTAGCCTTCAATCTGCTAAACAATAACCATTAATCTGCTGATGGTTAAAGTTGATCACAATCTTAGAAGCAATCACATTCATTAAGACATATTTTTCCCATTAATCTCCATCTACATATATTTTTCAATCTGTTTACTAAACTGTAAACATCACTTTGAATCCAAAGTGAAAACAATTGCAATCATTTACTTAACCCTCAACATAGACGACTATTGATTTAACCTGAATCAAGTAATTGCCGTTTCTCCTACTCAACGTTAGTTCATATGTATCTTCAAGTTGTACCTTAATGTGGTTCAACAATGATCTGAATCATTATCATAATCATCACTCCATTTGCATCAACTGGTTCCTTCAGGTCAACAATTTTTCAATTTACATTAACTTTAAAGATCCATAATAACGGAGAAGCAAATGAAGAGCGATTTATCCAAATGTTGAGATATTCAATTAACTATTGTTGACCAAAACCTGTGGCAATCTTGATTGTTCAAATTAAATCTATTAAATTTCCTCTCATTTTCATCATTGGCCAAGTCAATGTTGGACATCAATCAATAACACCTTCACTTGGTAAACACAGGCAATTGATTAAGCTTGAAATTGTTTACCTCTTCAACTGCCTTTAATTGTGAATATAGTTTTTGCAGTAATTAATTATTTTCTTAATTATATCAGCTTTTAGGCTAGATGTGTGGGCTAATCAGATTAGACAACAAAAGTGGTTCCAGTGAATCTGAATGCTGTTGACTCGCCAAACATGGCAATGACTTGGAATGATTATAAGCCAATTCAGTGGCATTACAATTGATTGATTGAAATTGATTTAAATAATTGAGATGCACAAAAGTGACCAAAATAAAGTCAACCTGATATGGAATACAGTTTGACAAAAAAACAATACTTTTCTTTGTAATCATTGTGATATTATTTGTGGACATTTTCCCGTGAGAAGCGAGAATTGACAATTCAATTGAGCTTCACTGGCGATCAACTAATCATAAATGTGTATATAATCATGATTTGATTTGGAAATTTCATTGTTATCAAAATAATCCGTCTGATATTATACAAATATAATCATTTGTTGAATCGCAAGATTCAAGCAAAACATTTTTTTCCCAAATTATTTTAAAGAAAACATTTTTTGCTCATTATTTCTTACAATAAAATGTAAATCGATACATTTAGCCAACATTAGATGAACAAGTTGAAAATAGAGTTGAAAATAGGATTCTTTTTAGCTGAATGATTATTCATAAACACGCCAGACATGTTTGTTAACTGATATTGACAAATTAAGATTAGCAATTTTCATTCTTCCTTGGTTAACGTTGATACATTGATCTTTTGTTTATTTGGTTAAACATTTTCTGGTATCAACATTGAAGCTTGTTTTACTTTAACCTTACAAGTTGGCCTTTACAAGGAACCTCTACAAAAGTTCACCTTTACAGCATATTGTTTGCAAACTTGCTTGTAATCCAAGATTTTGGTCTTTTTGTTTATGTTCAATGGTAGATTCAACAGCAAACGTTTTATATTTACATTTACAAATTTATAATCACAAGATTTAACTTTTAAAAAGGCAATAAAATTCACTGTTTTGTGTAACTGACACAAGCAAATTGAATTTAAAATGTTTACGCTGAAAGGCACCCAAATATGACTGAGCAAACGGGGAAAACCAGAAATTTGGTAAAGAACCGAATTATTCCATGTAAATTGATAGACTCTAATACAAGAGATATCTGGATATCATATACTTTGAACAATATGCAGTCACAATGCTTCAAAACCAGAAATAACAGTGAAAAAGGATCAAATATGAGCTGGCTAGCGATTTGAAGCGATCGGAATTGTTTGCCATTTTTTGGGTACAAAGGAATTACTTGACAGCCACAAAACCCAAATCAGAGATCAATGAATAGTCCTTTTATCCCAAATTATTAGACATTTTCCAAGTCTCAGGTCCATCATAAGCAACTTAGTTGACAATTGTGACAATTGTTTACTTGATCCACATTGAAATTGATCTTCAACTTTTTGCCAAATCCACAGATTTAATCCAGTTATGATGAATCGAGTAAGATTTGGGAATCATATTGACCTTTTCCTAAAGACATCATCGCTTTTGATCCATTTGTAGAGAGTCATGTAACATCCATATTAGACCAAGAAACCTGAATTGGTAAGAAGAAAAATTATGAGTGAAGAAGTGAAATTAGTTGAATTGAACATTAATCAAGAATGAAACAGTCGATATATCTACTTGGATCAACTGTAATTTAAGCTGCAATTGGTCTAATTAAAAGTTTGAGAAGGTAATCAACTAATTATGTTTGATTTGTTGGATAAGCGAGTTGGTATTAACTGTTGAACGATGGAGTTAAAAAGGTATTTTCAATCAAGTAATCAATATCCTGTTGATAGTTGAACAATTAAACAGTAGGTAATCCATACTGATTTACTAATCAATCAATTTCACATTTACTTTTTATTATTACTATACATTAAATATTCAATTGAAATGTGAATTTGGAGAAACCTTTAAACATGAATTGCAGATAATAACTCAACTCATTTTAAGCTTCTATTTTTTTCATCTTATAATATTAGTTCATTAACACTTGTAATCATCCAAATTGACTGTAAATGGTCTGGTAAAAGGTAACTAATCTAATTTAAATTGTCAAACAAAACAAATAGGAAAGAAATGTAAGTAATAGTTAACCAAGCGCGAAAATTAAACTGTAAATTGGGCAAAAAAAGGCAAGAGAAATTAATTTCTGTTTAGCTTAATGGTAATAACAAGGAAGAAAGCAACTTTTGTTACCTAAACATGTTTTAATTTGAGTTAGTATTTAATAAATTGTAATCAAGTTGAACACAATTGACTACAATAATAATAAAGGTAAAAAAAGCTGTTGCTCAGGAATGAAGGTGATTGACTCTCTATGGTTTAATAATAAGCTAACAGGTAACAATGCGTTGGTAAAGTTACCGTTGGTAACCTATTAGGGGGTCTCACGCAAATCGAACCAAATTTGTTATTTTACTGAATTTGAGCTGATTATTGTATTGAAAATTGAATGAAAGCAAAAAGGTAACCCAAACTTGTCTTGAAAATTATTCCTACCAATATGGTAAAGAAGAGGATTAGTTTAAGAGATATTTAAATGCAATTAAAAAAGACAAAAAATCAAAAATCAAAAACGAGCTGTATTTTGAAAAATGGTCAAAGGGGGGACCCTATGCATGAACTGTATTTTTTATTAAAATCAATGTTATTCAATGGGACATGTAAATTTTTGTGATTTTTTAATTGCATTTAAATATCTCTTAAACTAATTGAGATATTTAATTTTTGTTAATTGCAAAAAATATTTGAATTACTTGAGATACTGATTACCGAAATTCATCTCAATACAATAATCAGCTCAAATTCGGTAAAATAACAAATTTGGTTCGATTTGCGTGAGACCCCCTAATAACTAGAGACTGTATTTATCATTTTAATAGTGATGATTTGGAAGAGATGAAGATGGAAAGAGGGAATCAAAATTGAATGAAAGCAAAAAGGTAACCCAAACTTGTCTTGAAAATTATTCCTACCAATATGGTAAAGAAGAGGCTTCCCTTACAACGTTATTGCCTTGAGGCAAGCACTTGCTTTCGGTTTGTTCAAATTTTGATTGTTCAAACTCTTCAATTCTGTTTCAATGTTACATGATGAAGTATTAGTTGGAATGGGAAAAAGGAATGAAAAAAGGTGGATGTTTCTAGGAGGGGAAAACGGAATAGTTAGGTAAGTATAACTTGAATTTCAACAAACAAGAAATATGAAAACAAGAAACTGCTACTACATTCTGTAATAAAATACCTTTTTTGTAATGAAATCAACAACAAAAAGATAAAATTCCTAAGGTTATTTTACCATTGTGGTCACTTTTGGAAGCCAAATGTAACACATTTGAAATCTTTACATTTTGAAGGAAAATGTTGGCAATTTTGGTCTCTTTTTTTTCCTTTCAATTTTCCTTGTCCTTTTAAACACATTTATTGACTCCTCTGCTCTCTGTAAAAGTGGAGGATAGAAGAAAATAAGAGAGAAAAAGAGAGAAAAGGTGAGATGAAAAAGGTAATACTCACCTGTTTCCTTTATTTCCTTTCGCCCTCTTAGACTTTCTTTACATTTGCTTTCTAAGTCTCTCTTTGGTACCTTACTTTACCTTCTCACCCTTCATCTTGTTCCTTGGAAATACACATTTTTACACATTTCTTTAAATCATTCATTTTTGGGGTAAAAAAAGTCCATTGTAATCAATCGAGCAAAATATTGGGTTTTTAAGGCGCTTTTACAGCAATTCTTAAGGCGCTGCATTTAAATTTATAAATCTATGGCAGGGACATCTGGCGGAATAAAATGGAAAACACTGCTTTTACCGGTTTTTTTCTCACTTGATTCATCTCATTCACTTTACTCTCCTTCTACCTTTACCTTTGATCCAATCTAACAAATTTACTTCACTCTTTGACACTTGATTTGTGGTTGAATATAGCAAAGTTTACTACCTTTTCTCGCTTTATATTCCTTTCGTTTAGTTAAAGTTACTTGATCAATCCAATTTACAGGATTCTTGATTGAATTCAATGTTTATCGTTTCAACTTTAAATTACTTTCACCATTGACATTGTACATTTTGTATCAAACATTGACCAACCAATCCTTAAACCATAACCAGTGTCTTCATCTCAATTAATTGTATGGATTTAAATAAACTCATCTAACCATCATTACCAAGCATCATTAAGGATTTAACCCAAAGTAAGTTTCCCGTTTTCTCGTTTAATTTGTTCTCTTCTTTTCTTTCTCTTTATTTTCTTTTTTTTTTGATTGTTTGCCGTTTAAATACATTTCAGTGACAATTTTTGTCCCACTCAAAGTTTCAGCGATACTGTGATGAAAATTGTTCCATGTTTATGTTTTTTTCTCTTCTTTTTCCAAAAGTATTGAATTGTGATGAAAAATTAATCATGTTTACCACCTTGTCTCCTTACCATGTCTAACAATATTAACCTCTAACTCATCATTCATCGTATGTTAACATCAATCAGTCAACCAGAAAAAACAAAGCAGAAGTTGCTCAAAAAAAATAGAAACCAAATAATCTGTCTTATCTGTCTTTTTTTTGTCTACCTCTGAAGTCTGTTACACTATTTTTTACCCTCTGCCTCATCGTTCTTACATTTTACCTGTTTTCTAACTTTCAATCTGTTTTTTCCTTTCATCTGTCTGCTCTCTCTGTCTATTTCTTTTTTTCTTTGTTACGTTTTTTCTTTTCTTTTCTCTTTGTCCAAAAAGCAAAAGGTTTTTTCCATCAATGGTCATTTTCATCTCAACTTTATATCTCTCCTTTTTTGTTACCCACTTGAATCTAATCCTTGTATTATCCTGAATCTTGTGATTATCCTTCTCACAGCCTTTTAAAAATGTCAGTTAACTCTTTTTGTCTATTCCTAATGACAACTCATCTCATTATTTCAAACCATTTCATTATCAAAAATAACCAATGATTCAAGTTCAACTCTTGTGTGTTAACCAACACGACCATCATTTCCGACCGGAAGATCAGTCGGCGTCCAAATAACATTCCTTTTCAATTTCATTAAACCATATCTTGTTGAAGCCGGAAAAAAGGTTAACATGAGTAAAAAAACGTAAAATATGATAATATGAATGAAGCAGAAGAAAGGTAAAAAAAAGACTTTTAAGACTTTGATAAACCAAACTATTGAAAAGATAACAACACAAACATACAATAGGCTTTGAATCACCTGAAACCTCATCAAACTTATCATCATCACTATTAGTATGTTATTCATTCTTGAAGGTCGTTATACAGTTGATATTGCCATTATAAAATAATTTTTTGCTTATTATTCAATATCTAGTACAGGTTGGGAAAAAAGAAAAGGTAAAAAAGCAAAATATTTTCATTTTTGACACAAGTTCTTTCATTGCTTCTCTTCACCAACTTGAACCTTCTGATGCTATTAATAATGATATTGATGCTCTCAATTTTAACCAAATTAACATTATACTCTATTGTGTTACATCTTTATTATAATTATCAGCATCATAAGCAACCCAAATGACCCTTAACCAGAATCCTCACGAACATTAAACACCTTTTCCTTCCTCATAGCACTTTCTGTATCGCCATTTTTTTGTTCACTATTACATCTGTAAGAAGAAGAAGAAGATTTTGAATTGAAATTTACTTTAAATAAATTATCATCATCATCCTCTTGTGGTTATGTTGGTAGTGATAAAAGTAAATAAAGAAATGTCTTTGATTCTTCAAACAATTACAGTTCTAATTTACCGTTATACCACGAAGGAAAAAAGTTATAACTCATTTTGAATTTTCTTTAAATGTATTAACAATGAAGAATAGATTAAGCTTTTTTTCTACTCATGAAGTCTGTTCAACAGTGAATAATGAACATTTTTTTTGCAACAAGAGATGAAAATAGTTGAACAAATATTTAACGATCTCAATGAGATTCATGTTTAATCATGTTCGTCCCAATCAATCTCGTCCAATTGCAATTTCATTTTCAGTCTTGATTTGTAAATCAATGAAAAGTCAAAATGATACTCAGCCAGATTTCAGTGAATCCCTAAATCTCTTCAAACAACAATTTTCACCTTATTTTGTCCAAATTTTGCTCAAAATCTCACCATTTTTTATCATTATTGTATTCTTGATCTGCTTTACAATTTACTCATTAGTTCTGTAAACATAAATTTGACTTAATTTCCGTGAGAAATGGCAAGTTTTCACTTTCAAATTGTCTTCATCTTTTGCTCATCAAACACACACTAATTATAATACTTGATGATTACCTTTGATGATAAGCTACTGGACTTGAAGGACAATTTAAATCGCAATTTAAACTTTCCTTTATCTTCACTTTCAAGGTTTTCCTACCATTGACTTAACAAGGGTCAACCAAGCGTTTACTCTGTAAATTAAAGTTTCCCCCAAAAAAGATGATTAAGGTTCCTCTTGATATCCTCCTCCTCCTCCTCATCATCATCCTCTCCATGCACAAATCATCCTAGATCTAAGCCAATCTTACAATCGTTAGAAACGTTTCAAACCTGATGAACCTTTGAAATGTAATCACTTGACTTGTCATTATTTTAATTTCAATTTTTGATTACATATATTTGTTGATTACCATCAACAGCAACCCAATGCGGGTACAAAATGCTACATTGTCATTATGATGGTTAAGATGATCAACTTATTGTTGTTAGTTCCACTTGATTTAGATTAATAAAATTGTTATTTTGCATTTTTTTCATATTTAATTGTTGAACCAAAAAATGCTATTTTTAACCAAACTGTTGCATTCAAATTGAATGGTCCATTTTAATTTACATAATGACAACAATTTATCCATCATTCAATTGCATCGTCTCGTCTGTTAATAATTATCCTTATCACAATCATCATTACCACCATCATCATCATTAAACATTACCCATTAACTTTATCACCATTACGAGTGTTTCAATAATTGTATCAAACCTTTCCTACTCCTTTACCTGGTCAATTATTTTTAATCAAAATAACTTGCAAACTTGCTGTCAATGATAACACTGATTGTCAGATTAACCCGAAGGCAAAACCATTGAACAGCACAAAAACAAATAAAAGTGCAAACAAAGCTAATTAATTTCCTTGATTAGTTTACATAATGATTCAAATGAATGTCGATTGTAATTGAATTGATTTTTTCTAGCATTTCTTGAGACAATCAATTTTCTCTATTCACGTTATTCAGTTATCAACTTGAACTTAAAATGAAAATTTCAGTTATGCTAATAAGATGTGGTTTCAGTTTGGCATTTCACATGAAGCAAACTGATGAACCTTATTGGTGGTCTACATGTTATTAGTGAAAAATGAACACCATTAGACTGATAACTTGCCAGTAACAACATGATATTTATCACCATGAACCATTAATATTGATATTTGTTCATCTCAAACTTAACTTTAACATGTTATTTGTCAATTAAATATTTGCAACTATTGATTTACTCAATTTAATACGATTGTAATTAGCATCGATATACAATATAATTACAGTTATTTTCTGATGGTTAACTTGAATGGTGATGATGATCATTATTATCAGGTTAAAGTGATGAAGAAAGGTTGAAGAAAAGATGATTTTCTCTTAAAATGAAATGAAAATTTTACTCAAATTTTGCTTCTTATTTTTGGCAAAATTCAAATAATTTTCAAGTGCAATGTTTGCTATTTTGCACAATTAAAGATGATTATGGTGATGGTGCTGATTCAGTATGATTAAGATGAGAATCATCTTTAGGCTTGTTTGCTGTGTTACAGGTAAATGTGTAAAGGAGTAATGAACAAAGATGAAAAGATGAAGTAAAGGCTTCAATTAAGGAGTGATATTAGTTTATAACCTAAAGGCATTTTTACCTTACGGGCTCAATAAGGATGATATAAAACAAATACAACAAAATAAACAGTTAGCTTTCAGCTTTGTTATACATTTTTTTTCAATTTTCATTATTAAAACAAAATGTTCTGTTCAAAACAAATCTTCACCTTAATATACATGTTCAGGGTAAAAAAGGCCTTAAGCTTTTCTAATCATTTATTGATCATCATTATCATCATCTTCATCTTGGCCATCATTATCAACTTCATGATATGATGGAAAAAACAAAAATGCTGGAAACTTTGTTGTAAAAAAAGGGAATCTTGAAAGAAACATTCTGACCATTACTCTGTCAAGATCAGGTTTTCCTGATGCTGAACAGATTAAAGAAAAGGGTAAATTAAAGGTTGCAATTTAAGTTAAAAGATTGTTTTCTTAGGTGCTGTTTGGTCTTGATCGTATTTTTAGCATAATGAGTCCGCTATACGCTGAACCTCACCCTTTCCTATCTCTCAATATACTTTGCATGAACAACAATACCAGATTAAAAACTGGAAACTGTACAAAAATAAGGAACCATCTTTTTCGCTATTAACATAGAAAGATAATTTCACTATTGAAAACATTGTTCCAATTCTTTAACCTAATTCTTGGAAAGGCCAAAATTCCCAAAATTTCATGTAAACTATTAGCTTTCAATAAATGGCCGCTTAAATGTTTTACTGTTTAAGTGATTTTTCAACTTAAAAGCTTTGCATCATCAAAGTATCAATTGTTACCAATTTAACTTCTTATCAATTTTCATGCTACAATAATGTTGAAGTTATCGAGTAAAATCTTGAAACTCAACTTTTCATCGATATCTCGACTATTCGAGCTTAAAGTTCTGAAAGTTGATTAACAATTGAGTAAACGCTTTGACCTAATCAGCTTGAGATGTTTAATCATTTTATTGGTGATCAATATTATTAGATGAAATCAAGGTTGTTCATTGTTGTAACAGGTAAAGTCCTTTCATTTACATTTGATTTTGGTTCAGTTGATTAACACTTTCCATGATATTCATTATTCAAGAGCGCCAAATGAGGTTAGCTTTTGAAGGTTCAACACTTGACTTTCTATGTTATCTTGTAAATATCATTTTAATATCAATTTTAATTGACTTCAATAAATGCATAAAATTTGTGATACCTTTAATGCCCTGGAAAATGGGATAAATTGCAATTTTCCTTTGATTTATTTTTGGGTGAAAATATGAAAAGTTGAACAATAGCTAAGGTAAATACTGTAAGAAATGTTGAAAAGGTAAATAAGATGAGAAACCCACTTCTATTGAAA